AACTCACTAATTTTGGAAGAGGATTGTTTTGGGCCAGAGGTTGATTTTCTTGTTTTTGTGGCCAAGTTGCTTCCGCTCAAAAATAGACATTTTTATCTGTTTTATTTTCTGATAGTAAAAATCATAAGAACAACACTCCTCACTGACAATAATAACCACATAGGAAATTACTGTAATGTCAGTCTGGGGAAACTTTATATTGCTACCAAACGTCATCTCTCTAATTTTATAAGGATTAACCAACCAATCCTTGTTAAAAGATAGGCACACATAAAAAAGATGTGAATCGTGGTGAACACAGGATGTGTGGTCAGCCTCAGGTCATCTTCAGTCTTCACACTCTTGATGTTCCAGGAATGATGCGCGAGTTTAGGTTGGTTCTAGGATAGGCCCAGGGGCCTGGTTTGATCTGGGATCCCTGGGACCATACCTAGAACAAACCCAAACAAAACCAAACTCCTTGGGAGTGCTTTCAGCTCAGGTCGACTTCTGGGCTTTTCACCCATATGGACCTCCAGGGCTGTACCAGGACCATACGCCAACCTTTCAGGGATGGGAATGACATTTCTGGAGCTTTCTGTATACTGTCACATGCTAGTACTGTGCCTAAATAAGCATTATTTAAGTCATAATATGAACAGAAGGAACAGACTGGTGTGATGAAAGTGCAGACAATATTTTGATTTAGAAACGGAATTAATTTCCTTAATTTAATTAGGAAGGAGAAAAAGGATACATTTAGGATATTATAAAAAGTTAACTTGTAGAAAACATGCTTTAGTTATAGAAAAAAGTTCAACAATAAACTATTTGTATATAGCCAATCTTTAGGAAATGTTATAAAACTGAAAAATAGTAAAATCATCCATTACTTAAGAAACTTTTAAGATGTAAATGAGAGGAAATAAATACACACACATACAATGAATTGCTTCTGATTCCTGCTAAGCTTTTGCAGGCATGTAACCTGGAATTAGTTCATCCTCCTTCTGTTTCATAGCAATGCCACTGAATAGAATCACTTTCCTCACTACTAGGCTGAAAGAGACACTCTCCTTGTAGCACCAACCCATGTTTGGTGTCACAAGACACTGAATTAGATCATCTATTTTTTTATGATTGTTGTACCACAAATTCCCTTCCATTAGCAAGGATAGACTGATTTACTATTTGTTCTATATGTGATGGAAGCATAAGTTAATATATGGCTATTAAAACAGAGTCCACCTATTGGTAAAAGTAAACTGATACTAGGGGAACTTACTTTTACACAGTTTTAAATTTTACTTACAAATAGTGTAACATGAAAATTTCATGTTTTTCTTACTCAAGAGAGAAATCACCTTGCTTGAATATTTCACATATTAAATGGTAATTTAAGCATACCAATATAGAATGACAGTGAGAATTTAGTCATTCAAATTTCTATCAGTATCACATTTCCTTTAGTTGAATGAAAATAAAGATTTTATTTAAAAAGTAGCATCAGAGAACACATTCTCACTTTTGGTAAACTTTTAACATATATTTTCTTTAGTTGAATGAAAATAAAGATAATACTTAGCAAAGAATAAATTCCTTGTCTAGCGTCTATAAACCTTATTACCTCTCAGGTCTCTGTTATATTAATAATACATGTTTTCTTATTTTCCAGGGCTTAATCTACATCATGTCTTAGAAATGAAGACAAATTTCTCTTAAAAAAAAAAAAATCAGCCCAACAAAGGTATTCTTAACAGCATGTGGTATCCAATTCAAATGTAAAATACAGTGAAAATACTAACTCAAATGGACTTTTTTTTTTGTCAGTACTGGGGTTTAAATTTAGGGTCTCATGCTTGTTAGGCAGGCACTCTACTACTTGAGCCACTCTGCCAACCCTTTTTTGTGTGGGATATTTTCCAGATAAGGTCTCATGAACTATTTACCTGGCTGGCCTCCAAATGTGATTCTTTTCATCTCTGCCTCCCTAGTAGCTAGGATTATAGGCATGAGCCACCAGTGCCTGGTTTTCAAGTGGACTGGTTTTAATCAGAGCCAAAGAATTATAGTATAGAACTAATGTTAGAGAAAGTGAAGTATGGAAATGAAATTGCACTCTCTATTTTGAGAGTGGATATATAACCCAATGACTTCACTGGATTAAAGAAAACAAGCTAACAGGTGGTAGGTAATAGATATCACAAAAATCCATGCACTTACACATCATCCACTTCCTTAGGTCTTCACTCTGCATATATTTATTCTTAGTTTATGCACAATTCTAATCAGCTTGGCCATCTACTCTACAACACCAAAGCAGATCAGAATGCACGTTGTGAAGATGGAGAAAGACTACTGGTATAAGCACACTTAAGTAGTTATATAAACAGACGAATCAGAGCAATTATTAAAAACAAAGACATGAAGACTAAAATAAGTCCAGCAGAATGAGGCAATCAATAACAGGGACAACTAGTTCTCAGTGTTTAATTAGTTTATCGGAGTATAATAACTAATGGTAATAATAATCATTTTAATATTAAAAGACTAAAATGTACTTCATATATTGTTCAAGAAGACAGCAATGAGTGTAAGTTTTAGATTTCCTTCAGAAATTATCCCCCAAAAATTTTAATGTGGGAAGTTTCAATTCAATAGAAAACTGGAATTTCTAGAACAGCTCATTCCTTAAATGGTCAAGTTCACCAGTTCTTACTAAACTAGCCATGCTTAGTCACAAACCAAGAGTTCTAGAATATAAGTTTTGGTGAACAGAATTCACATTAATAATGTATAAGCTTTAAACCTGTGTATTAAAGAACAATTAACAAGAACAAAATAGTTAATATTTTCCTGAAATATGCACAATGACACATTTTTGTTTTACAGGTAAATTCATTAACAGAGTCCTAGGAATATCAATATACAGAAACTGAATCAATACTTCAAGTATATTGCAATCACATATTTTCAACCACGTTTTAAACAAGTTCTTAGAACTAAAGAGGGAAACAATACAAAGCAGCCAAACAAGTATCACAAAGCCCATGCACTTTACTACAGGAAAGTCTTTAGTCTGGCTTCACTCTACTTACTCTTAGTTTAGACACAATTTTAGCAAGCTTGGCAATCTGGTCTCTCAGTCCACAGCAGATTTAGAAGCAGCAAATTAGGGGCCTATCGCAGGAGGCAGGCACACAAGACAGCAGCAAAAGTGACAGCTGATTATAAGGGAAGATAGAGAAACTGTGAGCAACAGACATAACTCAAAAAGCACAGCAATAAGTTATATAGTAAAGTGGCACGCAATATTACATATCTCAGTAGGCCCAGAGGCTGGATTTGTTATCACCCAATGAGAGGAGCTGATGATGTTCTTAAAGAGGACAAAGAAGAGGTTCTACCATATTCTGTAAACTCTAGACAAAATGGAGAAGTAGAAGGTACATTTAGTGGTTGGACTATTAAGTTCAGTGATTAAATGGATTTGCCTGAGTTACCTGAAAAAATGATTCAAATTAATCACCTGTCAATGATGACAGATGAATGAATCATTACTGAACCTGGGCATTTTTTTCTATATTTTCTCTCCTAAAATACTTGCAGTTTTATTGTCTAACCTAAGAAAGAACTGCAGAGATATATCCCTGCAAATAGAATAGGGAAAATAAGTCTTTATGCTTGTCTGGGTGTCATTCATAGCATGACAGCTACTTCAGCTCAAACAATGATTTGGCTGACTGTACCATAGTCTTAGGATATTGAGGTCTTGTATCCTTGATTTATTTTGGTATAGAAACAATAAGCTACGATTAAAACAGATCTGTAGAACTTTCCCCCCCATGTTATCCATAATAATGTGGCAAAATGTTTCATAATTTACCCAGGAAGAAAACAGTGCTCAGAGTGAAATGAAATATAGGGCCCTTTCTAATTAACATTGCACTGACCTATCATTTTTGAAATGTATCAGAAGTTGATTTTTTTTATGCTTTAACATTAAAACCTTTGTATCTTTTACTATGTGAATCAGAATATTACTTTTTTTTAAAAGAGAAAATTGAGTTTAAAATTTTTGACTCAGTTTACTAACAAATTTATAAATGGATCTTATTTTTCAGTCTCAAAAAGTTTATTTCCTTTTAAAACTCTTTCTGAGAGAAAATGGCAAACATCATTTAGCAACTGAGAAATTCAGGTTTTGCTGGGAAAATTCCTCCCAACATGATAAGGCTGGCTGTATTCATAGCTTTTAAATGAAGGGTCTGGGATTCAAACTCCAGCCTGTCCTTCTGTAATAAAGCTGAAACATATTTACTTAAACATCCTTAATAATTTGCCTTACATGTGTTTCTACTGACTTGCTGATTCTCCCATAACCTAAGAATTCAAACTTGAGTCAATGCATCAGTTCCTAATGAAATAAACTCAGGTGTTGAGGGTGCAATTAGTTTTAGCGAGAATTTAACCTAAAATGTCAGATGACACACACACCTTGTGAAAATCACAAATCGACAACCAGCAAGAGTCTGCCTTAGATATGCCAGGTAGGTACAGTTTTAATGGAAGCAGAGGAAAAGGATAACTGGCACCAGATCACTTACTGCCACAACTTTCCTATCTGTAGGTAGAACAGATAAAAATCCTATTTTCACTGTGACCCAAGCAGTCTCTTACACGCATCCTCGTTGAGTACTAAGTTGTTTTGGTAAAACAAACCGTGGCAATGTTTGTATTAAAAGATGTCCAAATGCTACTCCTGACGAGAATTCAGCTTTAAAAAATAATACTGTAAAATTTCAGAGGTACAACTGCAAATTTTTCCCACACGTTTTTTTCTTGGAGTGCTTCTTCTGGATATAGAATGGCAACAAATAAAACTAGTCAAAAATCTGGTAAGAGAAAGTAAAATATTCTTAGAAAAGCAATGAACAATAACACCCACTTCTATTGCACTGACCTGTTTTTCTACATAGACTAAGTTACTCATGGCAAGAAGAATGAAGTCCTAGACAGAGTCTTAAATTTTATTGGTCATATACATTACCTAGGTCCAATCCAAAATTACTAAGAATTACAGTGAGTATGGCCTAAAAAAATAAGATTTCTGGCTTATTCTGATCTAGGTATTCACTGAAACAACTGATGAACACTGACATATAATGAGAAAAAGTTAATCAAGGAATTTTCATAGAGAAGATAGTATTATATCTTGGAAATATTTTAAAAGATGAAAGAAATTTCAAAAACACACAAAAAGAACATTCAGTTAAAAGTTCCAACATTTTTATACTATGATTTCAACAGCAAAGTTTTCATGAACTAGTGAAATAAAACAGATCACACTGGAAGATGGGAATTCTTGATCTAAATAATTTATCTTGCAGAGTTAAAAAAGTATCAGCTCAGAGAGCACTGAATAAAACTGATAAAATATTATGATGACATGTCTCCCAAATTGGTGTACTAGAAACAAAATGAAAGAATTGAAAATTATTAAACTCTTAATTCTTCCTGTGTAAGGTCATAGGTTAAGAGAAAGACTCCCAAATTTTTATGTAACTGCTTCTAAATCCAAGGAAAAATGGAGCAGGAAAACTAAGTCATTTAAATAAGAAAACAAACCCCAAATATTTGTTAAGAAGACAGAAGCCAGTTACAAAACCAGAAAATTCTTTTTCTTGAAATTTAGCTATTTCTAACTAGGTTCAACCTATGATATCGCTCCTAACATGTTAATTAAGTCCCAGAATTCTGGCAAAAGGCAAAGTCACTTATGGTACAAAGGATCTCTACTACTCATATAAAGCAGAAGTTTTTCCTCAGGATTGAAAAAGAGTTATTAAAAAAAACTTTTTTGGTATGAGTAAATTTACCCACTAAAAGTAAGTTACAGGATTTTGAATGTATTTCTTAACTTAAAAGACAACCTAGATTCATTGTGTAATATCCTTTTCGGGACAGCAGCATAAATTAAGTTATAACTACATTTCTCCCCCAGAATGTCTATAAATTAAGTTAGTGCACAGGAGCTACAGGTTTCAAAAATAGTATACTTCTGAAAACATCACTCTTTGATAATGCAATCACAACACAAAACAAATGAGATGGGTCAATTTGGAAAGCAGTCTCTTTTAAGAGGTAGTTCATAAATGAAATACTAAGGAGACAAGGGTGCTTTCCAAGAAGGTGACAGGTTTCCTGAGTATCATTAAAGTGGCAGGGCTAGAAAAGAGCAGCATTGTGACCTGCTTGTGGCAAGGACACACAATTATCTCCTGGCAAACTGACACCATGAGCTTTCTGCTAAGTTGGGGGTGGGGTCTATGAATATGGGATCCCACTTTGATATCGTCTATTTTAGTTGCAACAGGAAGGAAAAAAATCAAACGGCATTTCTTAAAATGGTACAGAGTTTTTCTTTTAAGGATTGCAGGACATCTTAAAATTAACTACTGAACACATACATGCACAAAAAACATAAGATGTGTCATAACTCAAATACTTTTGAAACTTTTAAAGTTGCAAACCTCAGCACACATCAATTGTATGAATTAAGTTTTTTTTATTCAGAACCTGTATCTTTAAGACTGGTATAAACAAAAAATACAAACAAGTTGTTATTAACATAATAGCTGCAGTTATTAACTGCAAGGATACAGTAAAAAGGAGTCATACTAAATGTTAATGTTCTTGCAAGAGAATTGTCCTAGTCAACTTATGGTAGCAAATTCTGGCAAGAAATGATAAATTCACTTCTTATTAAAAGTACTTGAAGAATTTTCAAGATTATCAGTTGTGCCACAAATGAAACAGCAGTTTATTCAAAAGAGCCCTTACCTTTCTCCTATTTTCCTAAAAGATCTGCCATTTACAGGTAACTACCAATTTGAGATCAGTTGTTCAAACCAGGGTTCTTCCGGTAAATTCACATCTTAGCTTTACATATAGTATACTTATACTCATTTTCCCTTTCCAATCTTGAAGCTAAAACGTTTGTAAAAGGAACAATCTAAAATCATTTCACCTTGGTTCTCACATTTCTTCTACATCATTTTCATCTTCTTCAATTATTTGTTCTTCCTCTTCATCACCAAAAGTCTGTTCTTGGATGGTGGTGAAGGAGAGAGATCTAGCAGCCACTTCCGCAGCAAGGCCAGCAGTAAAGGTAAATTCTGGTGACAGTCGTAGTCGTGCCAGCCTCTGCTTAATGGAGGGTTGTAATGAGTCCCTGGGAGCTGGAGTGGCAGTGGCCAGACCAATACTAGTGGCTTGCTGAGCTTCATCCTCACTCTCACACTGGTAGTACATTCTTTCTTTAGATCCTCGAAGAAAGAAGTCATTTGCTGAATTGTCTTTACTTTCACCCTCTAGAGAGTCCTCACATAAATACTCAGTCCTACTTATTTCATTGTCAGTTGTGGTAGGTTTACTATTTTCCTCTTCATTATTTTTACTGACTTTTCCCATATCTGAATTACTGGATGGTTCTGAATTACTTATGGGTTCCACTGGGTCTACAGGAGACAAGGATTTCAACACAGCTTCAAAGAAAAAGGAAAGAAAAGAAAAGAAAAAAAAGAAAAGAAAAAAATAACTAAGGACTCAGCAATGATTTCAACTTTAATTTAAAATCCCAGTAGCCTTTTTCTTAAAAAGAACAATAAATAAATAAAATCTCAATAAAACTTTCTAGTAAAATAAATGTAAATTTATACATCTGGAGAACTTTGTGAGATAAAATGCCTAAAAAATGAAATGAAATGGGGATTTGCTGAAGATTTTTAAAATCAAAAGCTGAGGTTCTCAAAGTGTGGTCCTTGAACCAACAGGATTAATCATCATCTAGGAAGTTGTTAGAAATACAAGTACTTGTGCCTGACCCCAGGCTACTGAATTGCAAACTCTGGGGTTGGGGTTCAGCTAGGTTTTACAAGCCGTTCACTCGATTCTGCTGCACACTAAGGTTTGAGAAATACTGTTATTAAAGAATGAGTAATGTAGTTTTTACTGCAAAAAGGTCTGAAATGATCCAGAGAATAACTGTATCTTCAACACACATACATATATTTACAAGTTAAAAACAGCATGGAAAAAAGGCAATATACAATTCAACTTACTTGCCAATTTCCTAACAAGACCCTAGTAAAGCTATTCTGCTACATATTTTGCAGTGCCACAGAAAAATACAAATGAAATAAAATATGCATTCAAGATTAACTACTGAACAAAGTATAGTACATAAATATATATCCATACGGCAGAAGGTTGTCCTTGCAAGGAAAATGAGGTTTTATTTAGCCCCTCTTGATGTTAGTAGGCAGTGGGTTGCTTGCTAGGCAGTCTCTCCTCCCAGCATGAGGGGTTAGTACAATACAATATATTAGGAAGCATGATGGAAGGAAAAGGTGCTTCTTGAAGATCTGGCGTGTATTAAAAATATTTTGTAAAACGTGTCCGTTTCCAAGAAACATCCCTATGCTGCAGTAACTCCACTAGAGAAGCAGCAACCACAGAAAACAATGGCCACAGCAGGTTCCAGTGTAGAATTTCCCTCTCTAATTCCATTCCGACTTTACCCCTGTAGGCAGAGATGAAAACAACTCTGGAAGATGTACTGAAAATTTTCACGGGCAAAGCATTTTATGCTACCAGCAGTCTTTTACTTATTTTCACAAGCTACACACAATAATTGCCTTTTCAAATGTAAACCATACCAAAAAGCACATACCTGAAAACAAGATACATTTCTCTCATTTGCCCACAACATCAACAGGTAATTTTAAAGCTATATGAAGAAAATGCTAAACAATAAAAGATACAAGCCTATGTAAAATATCTTTTTCAGTATTTAATTTTTAGTTTATAAATCTTCTAGTCCTTAATGAATGCAATGTATTAGAGGTTGACTGATATTATTATTGTCAATTGAATGGGGGGACAGAATCTGCATTAAGGGGTGGGGAATCAGCTGATAAGCATGTTAAGACTGTAAGCCTCTAGGAGGGTAGACATTTTTGTCTCTTGTTCTATGTGCTAGGGATGCAGCAGTAAACAGTGGCTGGCATATAAACAGATAATGAAAAATGACTTGTGGAACAAATAACTTGCTGAATGAATGCTGTGGAGGATAATAAAGCCTCTATTAGGAAGACTATAGTTTAGTTATAGAGACAAAAATATACAAACTCTTATCTTTATTGCTGCTTCTGGGAAGTTCTTCATCATTTCCCTTCTCTACTCTGCTGCTCCAGACTTCCTTTCCATCTCAATAGAATGCCTTTCTATTGTGAGGATCTATAGTAGTACGAAAGGTAGCAGGGTTGGCCCAGTCAGAGGATGCACAGAGGAGAAACTGGTAGAGAGGACAGCTTGGCGGAGAAGATGGAATTCATGGTAAAGGGATAAGCATGAATTTTCCTCATGAATAAAAGTAGTAAATTTGTGGAACTATATTAGAAGAACATAAATTGAGGAAGTTTTTTCATTAAAAATAGGGGAGATATAATAGGAAATGATGTATTCCTATGGAGAGGCTAATACAATAAGAGAACCATCATACATTTTAAGATAGAGCTATTATCAAGGTGGTTTTTAAAAAGTCTGGAAAGAGCTTATAAGAGAGCTTAGAACAAAAAATGGAAGTCAGCTAAGAGGATATTCTAATATTTGAGCGTAATCTAGTGATTATAAAGGGGGCCAATGGGAAGTAAGAGGAAAAATAAAAGCAAGAAATATGGGTCTGGACTAGGAGAAAGAGAAGCTTGTAAGTGAAGAGAAGAGAACCCTGAGGAGCAGAAGAATAGCTAATCGATCTACTTCTAGAAAGAAAGGAAAAGGTAGGCAACTGGTTTTGAGGGTCCATAAGACACTCTGGAATTCATTCGACTAGGAAAGAGCTCGGTCAAGCTTGTTCTCATTCCTCCTTGTGCCTCGCAGGAAGCATGACTGAGGGAAAGTGCAAGCGTCACAAAGAGGTTCAAGGCCAATCTCTGGCACTACCAGCCATCCAGGCTTGTCCAAATGAGCATGGAGGCAGTGCATGGAAGCACTTCCTCCCCGCCATCCACTGCAGTGCCCAGCTCACTCGAGTAGCCCTAATGATGTGACTAAATGGCCTAGGCCTTTATTTCTTTCAATAGTAAACACTGTTACTAAGCTTGTGTTTCACTGAGGTACTTTTAACATGGAGAACAGAGTTTGGAATCTCAAATTCACTGTTTTTGTTGTTTGGTTTGGTTTTTGAGACAAGAGTCTTGCTAAATAGCCCAGGCTGGCCTTGAACTTGCAATTTTCCTACCTCAACCACCTGAGTGCTAGGTACCATCACACCCAGCTTAGATTACTCATCTCAATGTTCACTCCAAAACACATAAATAGAAAAAATTTAAAAACTTAATGAAAAGTATGAGTTCATATTCCCAGTGTGATTATATACCTACTCTTTTATTGATCAAATTGATTTTGCATCTACACAATATTATGCTGACTGGTAGGTCCACAATTCTACAGTTAAAAATAAGATTCATGATTCAAGAAGAAAGGAATTCCCTTTTTGAAGTTGGTGCTTACCATGATCACTAAACAGAAGCTGCTTCCATTTCTGCCTTTCTGCCTCTGAAGCTTTAAATCCCAGCACAGTTTTTAATTCTTGCAGCACCCTCTTGGATTCTTCCTGCTCACGCTTTTGTCTCTCTTTGTCTTCTTGAGATAGGTAATAAAAATCATCCTTTCTGAAATCATTGTCTATATCTATATCATCTACATAAGCTTCTAATTCCTGAAATAAATAAATAAATAAAAGCACTTTATTTCGAGCAATTTCTCATAGCATTCATTTACTTGTAGTAATCCCCGCACTTGGGAGGTTGAGGTAGGAGGATTAAGAGTTTGAGACCAGACTGCGCTACACAGCAAAACACTGTCCAAAACAAACAAACAAATAAAGTGAGGTTTACATATGCACACATACTGGTAACTACCGCTCAGATCAAGATAAAAACATTTCCAGCATTCCAGGAGGTATCTTTACCAATACACTAACTTTTATTGTGTTTAATCACTTAAAAAAAAAATCTACTAGTGGATTCAATTAATTCAAATTCAAGGCATTAAGAACTAATGCTTTACATTACATTATAATTTTGAAGCTCATTAGAAACAGAAATTCAACAAGTTATTCACAATTGTCCATTTGAAAATAATCCATGTCACTTAAAAAGAAATAGAATGATAAAACTTTTAAACAATTATTTTAAAAGGGGGGGAATAAGAGTAATAGGGTGAATTTGATCAAAGTACATTGTAAGCACGTATGGAAATACCACAGTGAAGCTCCTTTGTATAACTAATATATGCTAATGTTAAAAAAACTAAGAAAGGTAGATGAACTTTGTATATGAAATGCTTCTTTAGGGAAAAAAGAAAAAGTAAATTTTATCCTTACCTGCTCCTCAGGGATTGGATCTTTGTCTGCAATGTGTAGAGTAGGCTGCATCAAAGGTACTACAGTACAATGTGGATTTTCACATGCTATTTCAGGCTTGCCTTAAAAAGGGGGGGGGGGGTTGCAGAATAAAGATGAGAAACAGGCCATGCAGAAATGAGTGAATAGCGAATGAAAATATCTTTGGTACTAACACTCTTAATTTCATAGTCCAACTTGTTCTGATTAAAACTTTCATTTACAAAAATTAAAGACATTAAAGTTAACAGTAACATCAGTAGGTTTACAATTTAACTTTAAGTTAAACTAAACTCTTAGAGGAGAGGACCTGGTTTTCTGCCTTCTTTACCTTACCACAGTATTTGGCATACACTAGATACTCGTTGCTGAACCAAGTATTTTGTCCACATCATAGGAATAGTATTAAGACATAAAGATCACCATGCTTCCTCACAAAAAAAAAAAAACCACCAGTCTTACATCTGTGCTATTTTAACCCCCAGAAGTTAGAATGGGACTGGGCATGGTGGTGCATGACTTGAATCCCAGCTACTAGGGAGGCAGATAGCTACCTGAGGCTGGCCTGGGGCAAGCTGAGATCCTATCTGAAAAACAAACTAAAAGCAAAATGACTGTGGGGAATGCTTGCTAGAAGGCCCTAAGTTCAATCCCCTGTCCCCTCTGACAAAAAAGTCAGGATTGTCAATGAGTTTCTCAAGTAAGTAAATATCTTGAGAGATCATCCAACTGAGTTTATCTTTAACTTAATTACTTGAAATTCAAATTTGTTATCTAATTACAGGATTACTTAGTCATAAATCCAGCCTTCTTCAACTCATCATTATTTCTACTTAAAAAGAAGTACGCTCAGCACTCAGGAAGCTGAGGCAGGAGGATCATGAGTTCACAGTCAGCCTGGCCTGCAATTGTGAGACCTGTCTCAAAAAAGCAAACACAACAAAGTATGGCTTACATATCTAGATTTTTATCTTTCAAGAGTAATGACAGATATATGGTTTTTAAAAAAGGAAAATAAGAAATATTGAGGAAATGTTATAAAAAGATTACTGGAGTATTGTCTGTAGGCAAGATGGCCGACACAAATTACAGTAGTAGGTAGCACTAAAGAAAGAATAGCAGAGAGGCTAAAAACTACAGTTAGACACACCTGTGTTAAATGCCAGATTTTTTTTTTTTTTTTTACAGTTTTCTAGGCAGCAACTCTACTGCTTGAGCCATGACCCCATACTTTTTAGTTAGTTTTTGGGTAGGATCTCAAGTTTTTGAACAGGCCTGGCTTTAGACTGTGATCCTCCTTACCTACAGCCTCTTTCATAGCTGGCTCCATCACTGCCTATTTAGTAGAACACAGATTTCGTTTTATCAATGCTGATACTATATATTGAGCTCTTTATATGAAAAGAAAAAAAATCAAACAAATCCAATGTACTACTTTGTCACTGGTACAACTTTTGGGTGCTGGAGATTGAACCCAGGGCCTTAGACATGCTCTACCACTGAGCTATACTTCAGCCCTCTATGGCAATTCTTTTTTGTTTTTGCATTTTTGAGGGAGGTTTTCACATGTAGCCCAGGCTGACCAGCTCTGTATACCAGGCTGGCCTCAAACTCATGATCCTCCTGAGTGCTGGGATTATAGATAAGTCACCACACCTCTTTGGCAATTTTTAGTAATGCCAATGTAATAGTATAAAACCACAAAAGTATTAGAAGAAATCATGAGAAAATATAAAATAAATTTGAAATAAAGTTTTTATCTATGATATAAAAATTCAGAAAACATATGAGGAAAAAAATACATATTTTTGCAGGAAAAAACCTACTATACATAATAAACCAGGGAAAAATTTGCATTTGATATCACAGAAGGTCATTTCCTTAACACATAAGAGAGCTTAGTCAGGGCTTCATACTTGCTAGAAAGTAGTCTTACTGCTTGAGCTATTCCACCAGCCCCATAAAAGAGCTTCTACCAATCATTAAGAAAATGGGCAAACCAAAAATGGACAAAATATATGAATAGACAGTTGTCAGGGTAGGAATTACAAATGACTCTTAAAAATAGCATAAGAAGGGCCCATCAAGAAATCTGATTTAATTATGGGTGTACAATGCAGCTGAATATACCGTCAACTTGAAAAAGCAAGAATAAAGTTGTGGAGCCTCTTCACCACATTCCTACTCTTTTGTGCTTTTGAAATTTTAAGGATATAAAAACACCCTAGTTCTTCATGAAAGAACTAAAAGAAAATTTAAAAAATGATAAGGTCAATTAAAATATTTACCGAAGGGAGTCAATACAGGTGCTAATAGGAAAATAACTCTTAGCTGGCAAGAGGCAGCCTGTATGCATATCTGGATGCTGAGGGTGAAGAGGTGCAGGGATCTTTTAGCCAGCAAGCAATGACAAGATGCCAGGACCAAGGTAGGAGAGTCTTGTGGGTATGGGTGAATGTGGTGAAAGGAAGCTGGGCCAGGACAGGAAGAACTCTCTGCAGCAGTGTGACTGATGCAACAGTCCACAGTGTCAAGAGACTACTTACAGAAAAAAGGATTGGAGTTAAGTAAATATTTTGAAGATGATGTGAGCCAAGTTCCTCACAATGAGAGAAAGGAGGTACAAAAATGGGAAGGGGGAAGGACAGAATAAATCATGTGGTGTTGAAACTGAATTGGAGTTACTGGTATGAGTCATGGTTTATAACATCTATAAACAGATTCAGAAATAGACTGGCATGTGTGTAAGGGTGTGTAAGTACACACAAATATTCCGAAGCTCCATCCATACACTGAGAGGCATAAAAGCAACTACATCCCATGGCAACGAGCACCCACCGCTTGGTTTCTAAATCCCAGTCTCCAGTAAAGTGACATGGCTGATGTCAAAGTTGGGGCAAGGAAAGTACAAGGAAGTAAGGAAGTGCAAAAAGTAATGTTGATACATATCAGCTTAAAACACAGAATAGGAAGATAAAACAGGTCCCGTCTGGGGGGAGGAGTTGGTACCAGTATGGGGAGAAAGATATAAGGATGTAGGAAAGTGAATATAGTGGAAATGTAGTGGAAATACTATGTACTCATGTATGAAAATGGAAAAATGAGACCTGTTGAAATTATTTGAGGAATGGGGATGGAGGGATAAAGGAGAATGACGGAGAGGGTGAATTTAACTGAAATAGGTTTAAGAACTTTTGTAAAAGTTACAATGTACTCTCAGTACAACAATAAGAAAAAAAATTAAAACAATAAAAGAATCCCCAGAGAGAGCTTACCCCCTTCCTCCACCATGCCCTTCTGCTATGTGAGTGAGGCAGGACAGAAAATAAGATTGGGACTCTTAAATTTATAAAACTTAGCCCAGGGCATTTCAGATTAGACACCCTCCCTCACCCCCTCTTCAATTGCAAATCCTCTACCAGCAGCAGAGCTAGGCAAGAAACTACCACCCACAGTGAAGTTAGGGTACCTGAAAATTAGCATAAGTGTATGCAGAATGATCCATCACCCTAGCTCAAGGACCACCGAAACCCATTCTCTCACACAGGTTACTGGCAGTTTAAAATACCTTGAAACTGAGAGCCTACTCTCTGCTCCTGCTTCTCCATCCCACCTGGCCCACCTGGCTAGGTAAGGCTACCACTGCTTTTTTGTGATGCCTTCCCATTGCCTTTAATAAACTGTTACCACCCTTTCAAAAAAACAAAAAAAATCAGCTTTAATGGGCTCCCTCTGGCCTAATCTCAGACAAGTTGACCAACAAAAATGTAATAGTAACACATTATGATTCAGTGAATAAAACTGGAAACTGTCTTTACTGATAAAAATAAGTAAGGGCGGGGAGAAGCGATATTTTACCTTACACTAGAGTGCCAAATAATAACAGTCAAAGAAAACATGGAATTAGAAATTACCAATTGGCACCATCATAGTAATATCAAATTCAAGCAAAAACTACAAGTGGGCAAGAATAATTTAAAGTAATTTATTTACTTAAGAATCTCACTTTTAGGTTATATAATTCTATGAGTTTAGACAAATACACAAAGTCACTTGAGCAAGACACTGAGCAGTTCCATCCCCCAAATAACAACTTATGCCACCTCTGTAACTCCTTCCTCCATCTCCAACTCCTAGCAACCACTGATCTGTTTTCTGTTTCTTTGACACTTTAAGAATGCCATGTTGCCAGGGCTGGTGGTTCACACCCGTAATGTAGCTACTCAGGCGGCAGAAATCAGGAGAGTCAAGGTTTGAGGCCAGCCTGGGAAAAAGAGAAAAAAAAAAAAAAAAAAAAAAACCCACAAAAAAAGTGAGTCCCTATCTCAAAAAGAGTGATTCAAGTGGTAAGATTAGCAAAGGTGAAGCTCTAAGTTCAAACCCCAGTATCATTAAAAAAAAAAAAAAAAAAAAAAGCCATATACATGAAATACTATATAGTCTGGCCTTTTCCACTTAGCATAATGTATTAAAGATTCATTCATCCTGTGACATGTATCTCAAAAGAGTTAACATGAAATACTTTCAGGAAAGGCTAAAGAAAAATAAAGATCATGGCACATAGGTATCACAGAATTTGAGTTTGGGCATATAAAAATACTATTGGGACAGTCATGGAAATTTGAGTATATCTGTGAACTGGATGAATGGCAACAGTGTATCAGTGTTAATTCCCTAATTCTGATTGTATACTGTGGATATGTAAGAGAATGTCCATGTTTTTCAAAACTGCCAATAAAAAATGTAGCGATAATAATACTTTATGTCTATTACTTACTCTTATATAGTTAAACACAATAGCACCAAAAAAATTCTATACACATACAGATACATACAAAGACAAGACAAATGTGGCAGAATGATAACTAGGGAATTTCAAACTATTCTTGCAATTTTTTTCTGTAAGTTTGAAATGACTTCTAAATAAAACATTAAAAAAATCTTGCTAACAAAATTGTTTACTTCCTAAAATATTCAAACTAACAGAGCATTATTAACAAATGGCTTATTCAGCTCTTGGGAAGCAGAGGAAAAGAGGATCACAAGCTCAAGGTCAGCCTGGGCTACAGATGCAGAAAATCCTGCTATGAAATTCAACACCCTTTCACGATAAAAACTCTGAAGAAACTAGGAACAAAAGGAATGTACCTCAACATATAAAGGATATATACAAAAACCCTATAGCCAACATCATACTAAATGGGGAAAAATGAAACCATTTCCTTTGAAGTCAGGAACAAGACAAGGGTGTCCACTCTCTCCACTCTTATTCAAAATAGTTTCAAAATTCTTTTCCAGAGCAATGAGACATGAGGAAGAAATAAAAGGAATTCAAATATAAGGAAGAAGTCAAAATGTCCCTATTTGCAGATATGATCTTATACCTCAATTATCTTTAAAAATCCACCAATACCCTTCTAGACAACATAAACACTTTGAGCAAAGTAGCAGGATACAAAAACCAACATACAATTATCAGTAGCTTTTCTATATACCAATAATGAAAAGACTGAGAAAGAATTCAGGAAAATAATCCCATTTAATGTAGCTTCAAAAAAAAAAAGCTTAGGAATAAATTTAACAACGGAAGTGAAAGACCTCTACAATGAAAACTATAAATCACTGAGAAAAGAAACTGAAGAAAATATCAGAAGATGGGAAGACCACCCAGGCTCCTGGATAGGCAGAATTAGTATCATGAAAATGTCTATGCTACTAAGCAATCTAGAAGTTCAATGCAATCTCCATCAAAATTCCAACGACATTCCTCACGAAGATAAAGTTCATAGGGAAGCACAAAAGACATGGAATAGCCAAAGCAATACTGAGCAAAAAGAGCAACACTGGAATATCACAATACCTGACTTCAAACTACATTACAGAGCCATAGCAATAAAAACAGCGTGGTACTGGCACAAAAAGACACAAAGACCAATGAACAGAATAGAAGACCCAGACATAAATTAGCCTAGCTATAGTCATCTGAGTTTTGACAAAGGAGCCCTAAACATACTTTGTAGAAAAGACAGTTTCCTCAACAAATGGTGCTAGGAAAGCTGGAAATCTGCATGCAGAAAATTGAAACTAGGTCCATGTCTTTCACTGTGTACTAATATCAATGGATCAAAGAGGGGATGTAGCTCAGTGGCTGAGTGTTTGCCTAGCATACATGAGGCTCTGGATTCGATCCCCAGCACCACAAAAAAAAAAAAAAAGGATCAAAGACCTTAATATAAGGCCTGAAACTTTCAAACTAGTGCAGGAAAGAATATAGAATACATTGGAACACAGAGCAATAGGGAATAACTTCCTGAATAGAATTTCAATAGCTCAACAACTAAGAGAAAGGATGGACAAATGGGACTACATGAAACTAAAAAGCATCTGCACAGCAAAGGAAACAGTAACAGTCACCAAACTGAAGAGACAGCCCAGAGTGGGAGAAAAATCTTTGGTAGCTATACATCTGACAAAGGATTAATTACCAGGATTTACAGGGAGCTCAAAAACTGAACTCCCAAAGAATCAATGACCCAATGAAGAATTGGGCAAATGAACTGAACAGAAATTTTTCAAAGGAAGAAGTACAAATGGCCAATAAATCACAAAGAAATGCTCAATATCCCTGGCCATACAGAAAATGCAAATCGAAACCACATTAAGATTGCTTTTCACTCCCATCAGAATAGCTACCATCAAGAACACAAACAACAACAAATGTTGGCAAGGATGTGGGGTAAAAAAGGAACCCTTATATACAGTTGGTGGGACTGTGAATTAGTACAACCACTATAGAAAGCAGTATGGAGGCTTCTCAAAAAACTAAAAATAGAACTGCCATATCTGAAGGAATGTAAATCAAGATACAATAAAGATAGTTATAGCAGCACTATCCATGATAGCCAAGCTATGTAAACAGCCCAGTGGTCCTGCAACTGATGAATGGAATAAGAAAATGTCTCTCTCACACACACATGCATGCGCATACATGTGCACACACTGGAATAATCAGCCATAAAGAAGAGTGAGATTACGTTGTCTGCAGGCAAATGTTCCTCATGTTTAGCAAAGTAAGCCAGGTTCACAAGGACAAAAGTTTCATGTTTTTGCTCATATGAGGAAGACAGATTCAAAAGATTAAGTGTATACACAAACATGATATGTACCACATGATCATAGATACATGTTTCCAATAGTACAAATGTTTGCAGAGACTAGGGGAAGGAGGAAGAGGAAAAGAGAATGATAGCAAATAATACTGAAAGATACTTATCTGTATAGGAATAAGGCATAACAAAACGCACTGAAAGCTATTGAATAATAGGGGGTAGGGGAGAAAGGGTAAGGAAGAATAATAGAGGGAGTTAGACTAATTAAAATACAATATATTCACAGATGAAATACCTTGGCAAAACTCCTTTGAATAATGAACATACACTTGAAGGACAGGAATGTAAAACAAGTCCTGTTAGGAGAAGGGTACTAGTGGGAGGGAGGGGGAATTGAGAGGGTAAAGGAGGGTGGATATGGTTGATGTATTTCATATATGTGTATGAAGGCAGAACATAAAGAAAAATTTATTCAGCTTTCTTAAATCATTAAACAGAATATTGCAAATCTAGCAAAAATAATATTATTTTTGGCAACAAAACAAATTCAATGCATAAGTCTGATTAACCTCATCATAGAGATCTAAGGGAAGAACATGGTATTGGTTCAGAGTACACTTTAAAAAACTTACTATCAAACATTCAAAATGAAATGATGGAAAAAATAAGTACAAAATTGGAGTAAATAAAAGCAGTCTAGTGGAAAAATCTCAAGACGTTCTTTTTTTGGGCTGGCAGAGTGTCTCAAGTGGTACAGCACCTGTGGACCACCACTACCACCAAAAAAACACCCCAAAAACAAAAAGACTGCCTTTTTACCTGGTAACACAAAGTTCAGGCCTGTTAAATAATGACACGTAACATATTCAGACTGTTAATAATGAATGTGCAGTGGTGTCAACTGCATAATTTGTGTATTATTTCCTAATACTGAGGTAAATGCTTAAAAAAAACCCCTCAGTATTTGGCCTCTGACCATCACATTTTCTTTTTTGTGTGTGTGTGTGTTGGGGATTGAACTCAGGGCCTTGTGCATGGTAAGCTCGTGCTTTACCACTAAGCTCTATCTCCAACCACTGGCCCCTAATTGCAAAGTCATTCGTTTTTGTTTTCATTTTTGGGGACAGAGTCGCTCTCTGTAGACCAGGCTGCTCTCTAATTCAAAACCCTCCTGCCTTAGCCTTGTGATTGCTAGAATTACAGGACACCACACTCAACCAACAATAAGTTTCTGGAAGTTCTGATAAGGAAAATACTATTAAAACGTATCTCTTCATTTCAGTTTTTGAAAAAAATGAGATATTGTTCACTTGAATGTTCAAATTTATTCATTTTATATTAAAATATGTCAATTTGTACATGAATTTGACTTTTTAAAAAAGTAAAACCAAGAAATTCTGTGAAGCCAGTTTCATTATGTAAACCAGAAATCCACTAATAAAATCCTAGCAGAGTGGAATGAGCATGTTTGAGAAGCACCTGCCAAAGTTATCTCTCACAAGTACCTTTTTTATCTGTGTTTCTTCGCAGCAGTTTGTCCACCTGAGAAATGGCCTCCTCCCAGCAACTGTTGCTTGCTTGAACATGGGGCTCAATCAACTTTAATTTCTGTTCTAGTACTTGATAAGCCTCTGATACTAGTTCCTGGGTTTCTTTAGTACAAACAAGCTTTTCAAGTTCATCTTCAAGAATTATTACCCTGGGTAACAGAGAAAAACAGAAACAGGTATTTAAAATATAAAAGGAAAAGTTTATCATTTATAAGGATTTAAAAAAAATAAGCTTATAAATGAAACAAGTTAAAGAGATGAATGATAGTGATGGTTGCACAACATGTATACATGTGATGTCATTGAACTGTACACTTAAAAATGATTAAATGGGGTTGGGGTACAGTGCTAGTTCTTTATGCCTGTGTCCGTGGGTTTGATTCCCACCACCAAACAACAAATTTTAAAGGAGTATCATGTATTTATTAACAAGATCTTGCATGCACACTAGGCATTTTCTTTGCTGAAGGACTAAATTAAACCCATCTCCTATTTATAAGAGATTAATAAGTAGCTCAGCGCTGGTGGCTCATGCCTGTAATCCTAGCAACTCAGGAGGCAAAGATCAGTAGGATCTCAGTTTGAAGGCAGCCCAGGCAAATAGTTTGCAAGACTCTACTTGAAAAAACCCATCACAAAAAAGGACTGGTGGAATGGCTCAAAATGTAGGTCCTGAGTTCAAGCCCCAGTAACACACACACACACATACACACAGAAAGTAAACCAGGAAAATAACATATATAAAAATAAAATGCAGTATCCAAAACATAATAACATTTTATTTCCATTTTATAGATGAAGCATTAGGTCCAAAGAGTTAAGAAACTTGCCCAGAGTCACAAAGCTGGTAATACTAAATTCAGGCCTCACAGGATAACACCACTAAGAAAGATAGTGTTATAAGAATTCAGAAAGGGAAATTAGTACCATCAGCTCTGCCTAAAGACAAGAAACAGCTAAGAAAGAGGTAGCATTGAAGGATGGATAAAATGTGTGCCTGAACAACAAGTGAGGAAGGCCATCCCTAGATGGAATGCAGGAAAAGACATTTACAGAGTTTGGCAGGACTGATGGAAAGAAGTAAGAAACAGAAACTCACTCAGGTTATAGCAGTGCTTTTTATAGAATGTTTAGTACAGACTTTACTCTAAGTTGCTGTACTTGGAAATCAGTGAAGATTTTCAGTTAAGTGAGAAAGCAAATTCATGCTTCAATATGGCAGTGCCCCATGGATGAGGGGAGGGGATAGTTAGTGGCTAATGCTCAAGTGTAGGCAACAGGCAATATGGTCCTGCATGGAGGCACTGAGAGTGGGAACAGCGAAAGAGGCAAGGGAGAGAAAGGAGTGAAACTTAAAAAGGTTTCAAAGTAAGCTGGGCGATGGTGCCTCATGCCTGTAATTCTAGCTACTTGGGCTGAGATTGGGAGGATCATAGTCAAAGCCAGCCTGGGCAAATGGTTCATAAGTCCCCACCTCCAAATAAGCACAACAAAATGTACTGGAGTTATGGCTCAAGCAGTAGAATGCTTACTTTGTAAACATGAAGCCCTGAGTTCAAATGCTAGCACTACCACCAAAACTCAAAATATATAACTCAAAAAAAAAAAAATTAAGAGGCATAATGCAAGTGGTAGTGCACTTGCCGAGCATGTATAATCCTCAGTACTGCAGAAAAAAAAAAGCAAAATATCTATCTATAATTTTTTTTTTTTTAGCAGTACTGAGTTTGAACTCAGGGCTTTGCACTTTGCAAGGTCGTACTCTATGCTTGAGCCACACCATTACACCACCAGTGAAAAAGCAAAACACTTTTCAAAGTGGTATGTGAGTAGTGGACAGGTGGCACACACCTACAATCTCAGAATCCAGATGCTAAGGCAGAGGATCTCAAGTTTGAGGCTGTCCTGATCTACACAACAAGACACTGTCTCAAAACAACAACAAAAAGTAGTGTGTAGCAGCACTACAGAACAAATCATACAATAAATTTGTGCCTGGTGTACTTCCTAATTAAAATATTTAGAAAGGTAAATACAGTAGCACATACAGAATATTCCATTTTAAAGCAGGACACCAATTTCCCATGCATAATCCACAATTCCTAACAGGCACAAAGTGCTTCTTGTTTGTATTTGTGTCCATACAGTGTAGCATCATCCCTTCCCTGAGCCATTTTCCTTTACTCTAATGCATTCCATTATGCCTGGTGTATTTTTGATTCTACTGCCAAGAGACTCTGGTTTTGTTTTAACCAACCTTTCACTGAAATCTCATTTTCCTCTGACAATAACACAACTTTTGCCATCCACTCAACTGGAAATGGCCTTATCTCCCATGTTCCCTGCTAAGAGTTGGGTTAACATTCACCTGCCTCAGAATAGCAGATATGGTTCACTGGAACACCTTCATCATCTCAGTTTCTTCATTTTCTCCATTCTTGAACCTTTATATGAGCCTCACTTCTACGCAACCCAGGCCTTGAAGTAAAGGGGAAAACCTACCTTCTCAAAATGTATTTTTGGCCTGAAACTTCTATCCTGGTACATCTTATCTTTCCTCACTCCACAAACTACCCTTTTGATTTTACTGATATGTCAAGTCCTTTTGACTCATTTTGACCTTACAAAATTAATTGCTGCCCTTCCCCTTCCACTTCTTACCTAGTATCCCATGTTAAGTAGATCAACCATAACTTTATCAACTCAGTAAATTCCTATGGCCTTCCTAATTATCAACACAACAAGAACTTAACCATCCAATTGACCTAGTCCTACACTATGACTAACTTTTTTTTTTTAAGAGGTCAGAAAGATTTTATTTGTAGAGAAGAGAAGAGAAAAGACTGCATAGTGGGGAATGCAAGAGGACCCGGAAACTGGTGGTCCTGTGACTAACTTTAAGAGAAAAATTTCACCAGGAATGATTACATTCAGATATTTTATGCTTCGATTCATTTTCTTCTACTTTTTTTTTTTTTTGGCAGTACTGGGACTGAACTCTAGGTCTTGCACTTGCTAGGCAAGCACTTAACACTTGACCCATGCCTCCAGCCCTCAACTATTAAATGTGAAAATTTCCGTGTAGAAAATAGTATTCTCAATTGGTAAAGGTACACCAAAATGGGACATAAAAACGTGGAAATTATGGCTGAGCATCAACAATCTTATGTAAAGTAGAAGATCAACAAATACAAGCTGTGGACCCTACCTTTTACTGTTTCAACTGAGCTCTAAAACTTGTCCTCTGCTACAGAAAAAGTTCCAAATCTGCTGAAATATATTTGGATACATGGCAACTTATCACTTTTCAGTATATTAGCAATGTCTCCTACATTGTTGCGGTGCTGGCAGGGACTTCTCTCAGCCTGCAGGTTCCAGTTTTAAAGCCCTCACTTAATAGAATCAAATAAGCTTTTCATAACCTTCTCAATTCCAGCTCTCAAAAGACAAGTGCTCTTGTCCTATCTTTCTAGGTTTTCTGTTGGAATCAGGAAAAGTAAAACCTATAAATGACTCTTCAAAATTATAGTGCTTATAAATCATTGTTTACCTACTACTTCTGTAGCTATAACCCACTCTTCATCCTGCGTGTCTCAAGCTAGGACACATGCCAACAACCACAATGGCATAAGAATGAAGTTTGCTAACATGGGGACATTCCCTTATATGGCTTCTAAACTTACTCATTCAGTAATGCTTTCAGATGGAGCTGCAAGCTGCGTACTGCTGTGTGAATGTTATTCAGTTCTCTTGACTTGGGCTGAGTTTTGGATAGACGCTGGGGGGCTGATTGGTGCTGAGTTTCAAAGTACCGATAGAACTCATAGCTGCGCTTCAGCTCTTCCAAACAGGCAGAATGAGCATGAGGTAGACCTTGAGTCACATCAGATAAAATACTATGAGGCAAAAGTGCTGGAGTAAGCAAGGGCCGTGAAGGTGAACTGGATGTAGAAAGTAACAGGGCTAACCGTCGGAAGAATTCTGAACTCTGTGCCACCCAAAGTTGGAACAAAACCTAAAAAAAAAAAAAAAAAAAAAAAGGAGAGAAGGAGGGAAGAAGAGAGACAGAGAGAGCAATCAATAAAAAATATTGGTCAACATTTGAACAAACTACAAATTTGCTTATCTTAATTCTGGTTTAAACTTTTCACCTTGTCTAAAATAATGAGTGTAAGTTGAGCTAGAACTGAGGTTAGGTGTGAATGTTATATCAAATTATGTAATCATGGTCTGTGGGAACTTATGATTCCAGTGTAGCAGGTAACACCGATATATAATTTAGTACAGTTATACTGTGCTCAGTGAAAAGTGTTGAAGGAATGAGATACACTTATTAGAATCTTCCTTGATGAATTAAAAAAATTCACATAGAGAAAATAAAACAGTAGGATCAATGTGGTATGTATGTGTATCAGTTCAGTTACTTGTTTCTTTGGATTCAAAATTATATTATTATTTTGGCCTAGGAATTAACTAAGTAATCAACACAAAATTCAGTCTAAGAGTGACTGTACTCCAGGAATGCCTAGCATACTAAAACAAGTCTGAGGAGAATAATAGTGAGAAGTTAAGGCTGTTTTCGTTTGATTGGTTTAGGGTAAGTAAGCATAGTATACTGATTAGCAGACTGTAGGCAGTGGAGTTAATTCAGATTATGTTGTTCTTTGAGAATCATGTTATAGGAATGAGTATGATTGTGGGTATAATAATTTTAGCATTGTAAGAGGGCTCTTGAGAGATACAGACTAAATCCAGATAGCAAAGGATTTCTCTAGACACAGTCCTATTGCAGATGAGGACAATGTCCACAAAGCAAACACAGGAGGAAATATTCTAGTAGGAACAACAGGTAGAAGACAAGAAAAAAGAAAATAGAACGACTTTGAATAACCTAGATTCCAATTATTCACAACTATGAAAATGGACATTACTTAGATGGCTTAGTGAATGAATTTTAAAATTATGCAAATAATGAATTCAGTTCGCTTCATGTAAATGTATTTTATCATTAATAATCCTTTAAGTGAGCAAGGCCAAAATTTGAATTGCTAAATATACAATATCTGGGAATTCTTGAATATAAATAAGCTTACTTGCAAGTCTTCTTATTTAAGCATCAAGTTTTATGACTACAATGATTTTCTTTATTCCTTTATTCATTAATTCAGAAAATACTTCATGAGCAACTATGATGGTTAGACAGGTGCTGTTCTGGGTGCTGTTAATACAGCTGTGAACAAAAAATTGGAAGAAAATCCTCACCTTGATGAAGCTTCACTCAAGTGGGAGGGGAATGGTAATAATGAGCAGATAAAACATAGGTTTTTCTTGGTTGATGGGTGATGGAGAAAAGTGCTGCACAGAAGAGGAATAGCAAATGTGAACAAGCACATGTGTATACACACATATGAAGGGAAAGGGAAGAAAGAGTAGAGGGAAAGGAGTGGCCAGGAAGATCTCTAAAAAAGTATAACCTGAAAGAAATGGTCCAACAGACTATCATAAGGGAAGAGAGTTCAAGCAAGCAGGAGGTTAGTATGCAAAGTCCTGTGGCATGAGCATACATGGCACGCCTGAGGAACAGCAAAGTTAATGGGGCTGGGCATATAAGCAAGGGAGCATGGCGAGTGAGGTGGCCACTATCATAACTCAAGCTTTTACAATGAGAGAAATGGGAGCCATTGAAGAGTTCCAAACACAAGACAAGATCTGATGTATGCTTTCACCCGCTCATTCTAGCTACTGTGTTGACAGATTATAGGAAAGTGAGAGTAGATATAAGGAAGTTACTACAGTAATCCAGGTGAGTGTTAGTGGTAGTTTGGACAATAGTACTTAGGGGTGGGAGAGGTGAGAGGTAGTTGTGCTCTGGATATAGAGTAAAGTACAAACAAGAAATATCTCTTGAAAGATTTGTATTGAGAAAAAAAAAGTGTTAACAACGATGATGTGATTCCAGTGTTGTGGGACAGGGAATCTAAGAGTCAGGTTGGCACAGATTATTGCTGCTTTAAAAAAAGACTAATCCAATCATTATCACATCATCCAGTTAAACCAAAGCTCAGAAACATGGGCTATTACTCTGTTTGTTCTTTGGATAAGGAAAGCTGCTCTGTATAAGGGGTTACCCATATCTTATGAGGAAATGGGGAATTTTGATTTCAAATATTTCATATGTGGATTCATTTTTAAAATCAGAAAATGCAGTACTTTATAATTAAAAAAATACTTAAAAGTTGGGTGAGTTACACATGCCTGTAACCCTAGTTCTCAGGATACTGAGGAAGAAGGATCTGGAATTTGAAAAAACTTTTTTTTGTGGTACTAGGGTTTGAACTCAGTGCCTCACACCTGCTAGGCAGGAGCTCTACCACTTGAGCCACTCCGCCAACAAGGGTCTCAAGTTTGAGATCAGGAGCTGTATTTCAGGGTGAGCCTCTATCTAAAAACAAACCAAAAAAGAAAAAAAAAAACTAGACTTAAAGGATCCAGGAATAGTTCCATGAGGCTGCAGTGCTTCAGGAGGCTGAGACAGGGTGATTACCTGAGGATATGAGTTTAAGACCAAACTGAGCAACCTATCTCAAACAAACAATAACAACAACTTAAAGAGAAAAAACTTTTATTCCTTTTAGAGGGGTGAAGACTCTTTAAGTTACTTTTGGGATGGGAGGTCTTGCCATGTTGCCCAGGCTAGCACTGAACCCATGAGCTCAAAGTATCAGTGTGTATTCTATATGTTTCCTCGTAAGGTTGCTTTCTTTTCTAAAGGTGCAACATTTGGTATTGCTAAATTTTACAGAGGGAAGACATTTGAATAATTAAAAAATAAGTCCAAAACAGATTTTCTTTAGAAGGCACAATAAAGATTATTACAGAAGACAAAAGACCCTGATGTACTTGTGAATTATCTTTCACTTGATCTTTTTAGAAAGCTTTAGTGTTGCTCTGAGAAAGAGCAATCAATTTCCAAAAATCCGTTTTTAATGCTTTATCTGAGTAAAATGGCAACTATACAAGGTGGCAACACCTTTTCCCTTGCAGAGACTTTCAGCAGTTTGTTAACTTTATAGATCTCAAGATAAGGCTTCTTAGCCAGTTAAAATGCTCACACCTATAATCCTAGCTCCCTGAGAGGCAGAAATTGGGAATATCACCGTTCAAGTACAGCCCATGTAAAAAGTTTGCAAAAGCCCCATCTTAACCAATAAAAGCTGGTGGCAAGTCTTCCATCCCAGCTACACAGGAAGTGTGAATAGGAAGACTGTGGTGAAGGCTGGCCTGGGTGAGACCCTATTTGAAAAATACCTAAAGCAAAAAGGGCTGGAGTGTGGCTCAAGTGGTAGAGTACCTGACTAGCCAAGTGCAAGGCCCTGAGTTCAAACCCCAGTATCAATAGGAAGGAAGGAAGAGAAGGACAGAAAACAGAGTTCTAGCCATACTACCTATATACTTATGTATCCCAACTATTTCATTAGAAATAGACATTTCTCCAACTGTTTTGGTTTTTTTCTTAGATTATTAGGTAGTACAGTCAGCCCTGAGATTTTCTCCAATAAGGGCTGCTTTCTCCAACGCTTTTTTCTAGGAGGAGTGTATAAGCAAAGTCTTGCTTCATCAGGCTCAGCCTTCTTGGTCCTCCAGTCAAATATTCATAAGCAACTTTTAGCTGTTGCACAATGGTTCATATGTGACTTTATCACAATTCAAGTAGCCATTCTTCTTTTCTATAATTTGGAATATCTATCTATCTACCTACCTATTTATATATAAAAATATATATATATATTTTCTTTTTTAGTGGTACTGGGGTTTGAACTCAGGACCTCATGCTTGCTAGGCAGGCATTCTACCACTTGAGCCACTCCTCCAGCCACCATTTTTCTTTTCTGAACATTTAGGCAATTTCCCATTTTATACCAATACATACACAAAGCTACCAAGTAACTTGGCACATAAGGCTTGACTATATTTAAATTAATTTTCGTTAAGAAAGATATACAGAAGTAGAATTACTGATTCAAAGGATAAGTCATGTAAAAGGCTCTTTATATGTCATATTGCATTCTCAAACAAAAAGATTTAGGAAACCAGAAAGAAAACTACTTCAATAGCCTAGATATGATGGTACCCAGGTGTGAAGGCACATGCTTGCAACTTCCAGCTACTTGGGAGGCTAGGCAGGAAGATCTCCCTTTAAAGGTCAGCTTGGGCAACACAGTGACACGCTAACTCAAAAAAAAAAAAGATGACGGTAGCTAAGGCAAGGATGGTAGGAGGAGATACAGATAAAAGTAGGTAGCTATAAAATAGATTTTCTGAGACAGGATGTAAGAGGATAAGAAGAGGGATAAGAAGGATGATGCCCAGAGTTCTAATTTAATTGTGTGGTGCCATTTATTACAGTGGGTAAAATTAAGTAAAGGCAAATTTCAAGGAACGCTGGGGGGAAAATCCAGGACCATGCCCCCAGCCCCCGGGATAGTTACACAAACCCAGCTCCAGAATTACAAAATGTCTATAGATCAGAAAATTTAAAGGATATATACATTTGATACAGTCTCAAAACAAAATGCATCTTGATAAACACTGTCAATTACACTGATTTCATGGTTATCACGGGAAATTTTAAAGACTAGAAAGAAATATCTAAGTGGCACTTTCTAAATACTCAAAAGGAATTGAAGACATTTGGGTTGACTTCTTAAAAATACTCATCAATCTTACTGCACACATTTTTTTTCCTTTTGATTTTTTTTTAGGAGGTGGTACTGGGGTTTGAACTCTGGGCCTCGTACTTGCTAGGCAAGCGCTCTACCACTTGAGCCATTCCACCAGCCCTTCGTTTCATTTTTTTTGAGACAGGGTCTCACTATGGAGCTCAGGATGGTCTCAAATTCATGATCCTTCTGTGTCAGCCTCGAGTGTTTTTATAGAAGCAAGCTTGCAATTTGTTTCCAGTATTTGCTGCTATAGTAATATCACAAACTTAGGTGTATCTTTGATAACTTCCTGAGATAAATCCATAAGGGTAAAATTGCTGGAGTAAAGGGCACAGGCCTTGGTAAAGACTAAACTTCACTGTTAAAATGAACCAGGAGATACTCTCACCACTAGTGAAAGAGGTCTCCCTGAATCTTCACTGCTAATGAATATTATGAACTTTCAATATTCTTGGTAAAATGGTTAACTTCTAATTTGCATTTCTTTTGTTACTATGATTGACAATTTTATCATATTGGTATTTGTATTTCTGCTTTGTGAACTGCTAGTACATGCTCTTGATGTATCTTCTGTATGTTTTATTTTTTTTTTTTTTTCAGTGCTGGGGATAGAACTCAGTGCCTCATGCATGCTAAGCAAGCTATCTATCATTGAGCTAAATCCTCAGCCCTATGTTTTAGATACTTAGTACTCTTTATATAGAAAGAACTCAGGCCTTTGTTATAAATCATTGTGATATTTTTAGCTTATTACATTTAAAATAGGTAGTATTTATTTATTTTTGTGGTATGGGGTTTAAACTCAGGGCTTACACCTTGAGCAACTCCACCAGCCCTTTTTTGTAATGGGTTTTTTGAGATAGAGTATCACATGCTATTTGCCTAGGCTGGTTTGGAACCACGATCTTCCTGATCTCTGCCTCCTGAGTAGTAGCTAGGATTACAGGTGAGAGCCACTGGCACCCAGCAAAAATATGTAGTACTTAAAGTTTAATTTTTACATAGCTAATTATGTCCTTTTATGGAGCTCTTTTTATAAGAAAACTTCTTTTCTTAATATATGAAAAAAGAATTTGGAAATGTTCCAAAAGAAGATGTAGGTCTTAAGTGCTTGATTCATGTTTGCTGAAACAAATGGCTAGTCATAAAGTAACTTGCACTGGCTTTCCATTAAAGTAATTCCATTATCTAGGGCTGGGGTTTGACTCAAGTGGTAGAGCACTTGCCTATCAAGTGCGAGGCCCTGATTCAGACTCCAGTGTTCTCCTATTCTACTTCCCTGAAAGAAGAAAAAATATCTCCAAACTCGAGGACATCTCTTTTTTCTGCCTTTTAAAAATTTCTTTTTGGCAGTATTGAGGGGGGTGTTGAACTCAGGGCCTTGTGCTTGCTAGGCTTAAGGAGCTCTACCACTTGAACCATGCATGTCCACAGCCCCTTTTTAACTTTAGTTTTTGAATAGGGTCTTGCTGTCTATGCTCAGGTCAGCCTGGACTGTGATCCTATGTATGCTTCCTGGTGTGTATCACACACCCAGCTTTTATTGGTTGAGATGAGGTCTCATGGACTTTTTGCCAGGGCTGTCCTCAAACCGTGATCCTCCCGATTTCCACCTCTTGTATAGCTAGACTTACTGGTGTGAACCACAGCACTGGGCTCCTAAAGGCATTTCTTACATTAAGAATTTTAAGATTTCTGGTACTAAAATACATTGGTCTCTCCACCTGATCTCTATGATGTTCTCAAGACAGTGTTACATACTTCACCAAAGCATTTATGACAACAGTATTCAGCAGACAATGAGGGGAACAGGTACACCACTTATGTTCAGAAAGCATAGGCATATCCAAGTACATCTATCTTGTCTTTAGTCTTTCCCTTCCACGGTGCATTACCTTCAATGCAGGTAGGCTGAAGCCATCTGTAAGGTTATGTGCTTCCTCTTCTGAAATCTGCTCTTCACTAAGGCCAAGGCCCAGCTCCTTAAAAGGCACCACACAGATGTAGTTGGTAACATTGTCACTCTCAGAGTTCAGGGGGTAGGTTAAATTAGGTTAAGGCAATCAACACCTTTCATTAAAGCAGAAAAGTTACAGTCGAATTGTCCAAAATCATATTTGCTAATCTTTATTCTGAACTTCTACTAGAGATTTGTATCAGTTTTTAAACAGAAATTAATCTTAAGATACATAACACTCATAGGCTACTTGTGAAAGTGTTTTTATGTCTAACTAATTAAAAATTAAATTCTTCAAAGGTTCTAAAATGCCAGTTTAGTGATTTCTAATACCTACCTTATGAAGTTGTATTTTATACTTTATTGTCATGGCTCAGGCCTTCACTAAGCTCAGTAAATAATCTCTTGCTACTCCCCACCCTCCAGTATAAGACATCATTAGTGGAACATTACAAGACCACTAATGTAAGGAAGCAGTAGCTTATTCTGGGTATTTGACATAGACTGCTGTTGTTTTTTCTGTCCTCTTTCTCATGAACATATATCAATATCAATAAAAAAATTTTATCCTTTTATATCCATAAAATTCCTTTTTGCTTATTTCTTTTCTTCTTTCTTTTGTTTTTGTCCATGTAATTCTTGATATTGAGCCATCCTTGCATTGCTAGCATTTGCCTATTTGATCATACTATGGTATCTTTTGATTCAATGATAAGTTTATAAATATTCTTTTAAATATTTTATAACTCTAAGATTATTATATAGTTTTTATTTTTTTGCAATATATCATGTTTAGATATTGAGATTAAAATGATGTAGGAGAGCTTTTAATTTTCTCTATGGGCTAGAATTTTTTTAATCATAAAATTTCTGGACCTGGTAGTTAATTTTGTATTCATTTAGTTTTTGAATAGGTAACATACTCACAGGATTCAAAATTCATAAGGTATTAAGGATACAGTGAAAACTGCTTCCCATCCCTTATCCCTTAGCCACTTACTTCCCCTATTCAAAAGCAAAGGCAATTCCCATTACCATATTTTTTAAGTTATTTTATGCAGGCACATAAAAGCAAATCCACATAGAAATGTATATCTGGAGGTATGTAATGACAAAAAGTATATTTAAACACACATGCATAAATACACACATAATCATTTATCCTTTTGTATATACACAGTTCTTTTTATGCACAAATGGAAGTATACTATAAATACTGCTTGATACTTTGCTGTTTTTTTTTTTTTTCACCGAATACAACTTGTAGATCATTTCACGGTAGGGTGTAAAGAATCTTATCAGTTTTTTTAATAGCTGCATACCTGCCATTATTTACATATAAGTAAGTGTTCTCTTTTTTTTAATGAACTATTTAAAAATTATACATGCAGTCTCTTCAAGTTTTAAAATTTTTCTTAGGTCAGTTTTAGAGATTTGTATTTTGATAAGAAATGAACCATTTTCCCTACATTTTAAAGTTGCTGCCACAGTTGCATATACTATCCCCTTATAGTTATTCTTCTGCATCTCTGGTTATAGCTGTGTGCTCATTACTAATCTTGTATATTTCTGTTGATCAGTCATAAGAGGGTTTACATATACTACTGCTCTTTTCAAAGAAATAAGTAGGGTTTCATTTCATTTTTACTTTAATTTTTTTTTACCTTTTGTAAATCAACTTTTATTTTGCATAATTGTATATTTACATGATAAGAAATAGTAGAAAGGCCTAATATCCTTTCCCCCAAAAGTGACATCTTTCAACATTAAAGTTTCTTGTAGAGAGAATATTATCTAGTCCCTATTTACCTCTGAATCTTATTTTATACAAATCCAAGTTACTGGGCTCTAGTGATGGTCTTCTTTCTATACTTCAATCAAGCTAAATACATTCCTACCACAAGATCTTCATACTTGCTAGTCAATCTAAATAGAATACTCTTTCTCACCATTCAAATCTGTTTCAATGCTAACTCCTCAGAGAGGCCTTCCTGTCCCATCCCATCAGAGGCAGTAGACATGTAGCTCACGTGCCACTGTCAATTCTACTTCTTTCCATATACTTTTGCTTCCATCTACCTGGAGTTCAGACGCTTATTCTTATGATCAACAACTAATCTTTTTTTGAGGTTCAACTCAGATATCAACTCTCAAAAGCCTTCTCTGAACCCATTAACCACACACATTGTCCTTCTACGGTGGAAGGCACACTGTCTTATGAATACTGTCTTATCTATTGACCTTACTCAAAAGTCTTTCAAAGTGGTAGCACATGTCTTTACTCTGTCTCTTTAGCACCTGGAAGAGTTCCTGACACATAGCAGGCAGGCATTTAGGCATAGGGAGAAATGAATGGGCAAGTTCTTGATGAAAATTAAAATGTTTTCTCCCCATTTTCAAAGAGGTAACACAGTATATGTATGTTTATAAGTCATAAGTCACAGTCAATATACAACTTTACATATTACTAGTTGTGTAATACTGAGCAATTCAGTTAACCTCTATTTTTGGCTTCTCATATAGATAAGAAAATCCAGCTAGAAAGATCTGTATAAGAATATAATGAAAGAACATAAAGCATTCAGTAAACTTTAAGCATTATAATTATCAGTCCTATAGTATGCATACTGAGGGTAGAAATTAGTGTTTTTGTTACTTACTGTAACTATGAATTATTACTAAAACAAGATCAATCTACCTTTATTTTCTGGCTAGCAGAACTAATTTCCTAATTCAGTAAATTTAAGTGGCAGACTTATTGTCATATAGTCTTTGAGTGCTTCCTATATGCCAGATGCTGTCTGATCACGTTATATGTATCAACTCAATTGATTTTAACAAAAACACAAGGAGACTATTATATTATTATTGCTATTTTAAAGACGAGAGCACTGTATAAAAGATTAAGAAAATTACATCAGGTCACTTAGACAGGAATTGAAATAGCCAAAATTTGAATAGGCATCCTATCTCTAGGGTCTCTATTTTTTGAAAGAGGAAGAAGGATTTCCTGTTGCTAACTTATTACCATGTTCTGACGCAAATTTGCATGCTCACTCATTAAAAAAAAAATGTTAGCAAAGACAGGCACTTTTGACTGTATTCTTTGGACAAGTGAAGGGATGGACATCATGTTTTATCCCTATTAAAAAATAAGCCACACAAGAGAAAACTTTCTTCCTGTCTGTTACTGTCCTTTCCCCTGGATCACATTTCCAGTTTTAAAATAGAGAGTGATGATGGAAATCAGCCTCAAAATAGGCAATCTCAATCTATAGTTTACTTTTACAAGATGCAATTATAACATCTATATTCAGGACTTGGGAAATATCTCTTGATCTCACATACAGACAAAAAAGGATATTTTTTCAGCATATATAGGGTAGCTAGCCTTGCTGCTTGAAAGTTGGCTCTTACAGTTCTGTAGACAGCCTTCCGAAGACCGATGAGATGCTGACTGGGATGCTGTCCAGCTTTATTAAATGAGCAAGCAGCACTGACCCTGTCAAGCAAACTTGAAAAGTAAAATGTGATACAACTGTAAGGTGTCCTAAAGTTTTTGTTTCCTAAATCACAATTCTATTAAACTTAGAAAAAATTTCCTTTTTCATAATTCTCACTAGAAAATGATCATTGTAAATGAAAATGATCATAAGTATCCCAAATCAGGTGTCATAAATAGCCATTTTCTTGATATACATATAGCCACCAGAAAAATATAAGTGAAAATCAAAATTTCAAAAAGATTCTTCTGATATGGAGAAACAACAAATTTCAGTTAATCTATAATAGAAATGTAAGAATATTCATGTAAGAATTTGTATCTTTTTTGCATAAAGATATTTACCTGCTGACATGCACTAAGGTGGAACTACTTTTACAAATCTATATCCACAAGCTGTATGAAGGTCTTAATCATCAAAACTTTCCTATTCTGTTTTTTGTGGCACTGGGGTTTGAAGTCAAGGCTTTATGCTTAGGCAGGTACTCTACATCTTGAGCCAGACCTCTGGCCCCACTTTCACATTCTTAATGTGCATTAACATATGCTCACTAATCATATACATTTGGCCGTGTGTACAGAACAATCAAATCCTGAATAGAAATAAATTCTGTACCTTCATAAAAATAGGGCAAAATTACTTACCCACCTGCTGCCACTGGCACTTACCTACTCAAAATGAAGTAGGGGACGCGGAAAGATAACAGGACCAGTGGCCAACAGGGGAATGCAAGTAGAAAGGCAAAGTAAGTGTTACTATGTGGTAGGATAGCTACTCTCAAAATCATTCAAGAGGAGCACATTTCATGGCACTTTCCTTAAGATTAATGGAAAGTATTTGCAACAATGATATACAAAATGTTTTGTAACTGAAAGTATGCAGAATTAACTATTACAGTTACTGGATAATAGTTTTTTGACCTAGTCAGTAAACTTTTCCAAGAGCAAAACAAAATATCAGCATTTACAATTTTCCTACAATATAACTACAAATCTGTAAAAAAGACATCTAACTAAAAACTTTAAAAATGTTAAACTAAAATATGGACAATGACTGACAGGCTTATTTTGAAATAAGGGAATTCAGGCAAAAAAGTGTTAAATTATATGCTAGAAAGAAAAAATTGAAGCAGAAACAAAAGAGCATCCATGATTTTACTACACAGCCCTATTGCTTGTGTTCTACTTTACGAAGTCAATTTTGTACGCTAAAATTATTTCTAAAATAGTATGATTCAGGTTTATAATTTCTCATAATTTTTATTCATCCATTGTCCAGTAAGATGGAGACAAATGAAGCATGATTTCTTCCATTATTTCTTTTCCCCATCTGCCATCTGAATGGGTAGAAAAGCATAACCGGGAGGCCAAACAGGTCTAACTGGCCTTCTTTACCTTTTCATGTCAATTCCATCTACATGGGCAAAAATCAGAAAATGATAAAAGTCATGGAATCTTTTATACACGCCATGGGAACATGGCAGCTCAGCTTAATCCATCAGGCCTCTCAATAGATGCTGTGTAAGTCAAGAATGAAAGTATCTTAAGGGTGATTTTAAACTTTTAAAATTTGATGACATAAAATTTACTATTCTCTCCCAACAAAGAAGTAGACTTAACCTAATGGAAGGATAAAACCAACACACACTGAGGATTATTTTATTCTAAACTGAGTAGAAAGAGAACATCTAAAATTCTTCTCATGTATCAGAATCATTTAAACACTCAGGATTGTTGTATAGACCACAACAGAGTGAAGAACTAATAATTACTGCAGACTCTTCCACTTCTCTGTTCCATGACTTTCCAGACATAGCTTTTATGTCAAGATGAGATACAATTCTAGGTGGGAGGAGGGGGACAATTAAAAAAAAGAAAAGATGAATTACTAATCTAGAGCAGAGCAAAGTGAAGGATGTGAAGACTACCAGAGATGTTTCAATCCCAATTTTCACCATTTTTCAGATACAACTAGTTACAAGTAATGATTATTTTTCACCACGTACTTACTTTCCCCCACCCATAGACTGCAATAATTAAGTAAGTTATATATATACATTATAGTGAGACTTAGCATGTATCCTAGTGTACCAGAAACAGGTTTTCAAAATCAGATGGAATCAGTAAAGACGATGGAACCAGAAAAAAAAAAATCAGATGGAATGGATTTGAATACTTGTTTTATTGTAATTAGCTAGTATATCCTGCAGCTTAAACATTTATACCTAGATTGGTGAATATTGACTTTTCCACAGGAATATGAAGCTTCATGATTTGCCTGATATTCTGAAAGTACCAGTGCCATAACACCTGCTAATGTCTATCTAAAAATTATTAATACATGTTGAGATTTTCAAAATGAATTCATGTCAGATACATCTACCACTTAAGCAAGGGAAAGAGGGCATTTGTTAAGGAATAAAGGAAGCAAACATTCAGTGGGTACCTACTGTATGCTAGATACGGTGTTAGGCAATCTCTCTAGTATTATTTCATATAATCACATGGCAATAGACCAAAATAATCGTGATCCTCAAAATACTTTGATTTCCCAAAGTAGATAGCAGAATCATACTATATCTAGCATATAATGTCTTTATTCCTTCATTTAGCAGTTAATAGACTTTAGTGAATGCTAAAGGGTAACTCACTTTTTTTCTTATACATGCAACAAAAAAATGAAAATAGGCAATAAATAATCTCCTTAAACTATGTAGTAGAAAAGAATCATTTTAAAAAATAAAATGAAAAATGAACTCACAGTGTAAATCCTCTGGAAATGACTTCAGTTTCTTGGATGAGACGTAAAGCTTTTCTCACAAGGTTAGTAAACGCTCGGCTATTTGCTGCCATGTCTTCCAAACGGACATTGTATTTTTTCAGCGTCACTTGCAATTTGGCTATCCTCCATAATTTCAAAGCTCGTATAATCAAATAAAAAAACAGAACCACTCCCCATACCATCCGGGAAGACACAATCCACCAAGTGGGAGACATAATGAGTACACTAATGAAGGCAAATAGCACTGAGACATCCCTAGGAACAGAGAAACCAAGAGAACAAGATCTATCAGACAACAAAGATTAGTACTTTGATCAGTAAAAACAACTGTAAATTTAAGCTTAGTAAAATAGTTAAAATGCCAGCTTCTTTGTGACACGACTTTAAAAAATGTGACATTTAATAAGGTAATACAAAATTAGTTAAAAATATTCAGCAACATGACAATTGTAGCTAAGTATTAAATTTGTGCAAGTAAATTTAGGTAAAGGACATTAGCTAAGAGTCTTCTGAAACCACTTTTTTAAAAAAGTATAGAATAAACCTGAAAAGCAAATTATAGACTTTAAAATCTAATCTTACAAATTTAAAAGTAAAGATAATATTTCAGATAAACTGAATTCCTCTTTCTTAAAAATCATACTTTATTTGCACAAACAATAGATCAAGAAAATGTAAACACATTCTCATTTAGAAATAATACATACTTGATGATTAATTGTTGTGAATGAAGTCACTAATTTTAAATAATCCTTAACTTGAAAAATAACATACTTACCATAGACTATGATATGGACAAGCTTTGTACTTTTGCACAGTATTAAATGAAGTTAAAAAAATTTATATTCAGTCACAAATCTAACAGACTAAAATACTTCTTTTAGGAAATAAAAGCTTTGGTGAAAATGTATATATATAAGAAAGAGGAATGTAGGCAAATGTATCCAAGGATATCTGAAAAATAGTACCAGCAATACTTGGGAGAGAGTTAAGTCATACTTAAAGAAAGTTAGCAAGCAAAGCAAGAATGCTTCTTAATAAATATTTATCAGCCCTAACTTCCTTGGAATCCTTTACTTATTTTTTTAGTTGATACTTACAATATTATAAAGAAAAATCTCATCTCATTACGTACTTTTATGTATTAACAGTAAACTCTAAAAGCATTTACAGATCTCATAGTTGCTTAATCACATTTATTAAGTTCTTAAAATCTATGGTTCAAGTTCTTTTGTGTATATAAATACACACACACATATATAATCTATTACATGTATGAATTTTTTTGGAAGGAAGACAGTCTTCACTATGATGTCCAGGTTGACCTTGAACTCCTGGGCTCAAGCAATCCTCCTACCTCAGCCTGCTGTGCTGTTGGGACTTCAGAAGTACTGATGGGACTATGGCTCACACCACTGTACCTTGTACATTCTTTTATTTTTGAAGGAAAAGACACTGATTTCCTCATGACTACATTTAGGTGAACGCAGATTTGGAAAACACTATCCATTGTAATATGAAACAGTGGAACAGGAAAGACAAATTCAGAACACTGAGGTCAATGAATGTGATTGCCTGTGTAACTTGAACAGTTTGATCAATAATTTAGCACATTTCTTTTTCTTTTGTGGTTTTGGAGGAAGTGTATTTCTTGATTCATTCCTCCCTTTTCTGTCAAATCTGATAAATTCTAATAGGAAGAGGACACTAACAGTTCTTTATATATAATCCCTTTTTACTATTTCTTCTTTTTTTTTTAAAACAGATTATGGCCTGGGACTTTTGCATCAGACCCAAATATTTCAAGTGGTTGAAAAGTTTAAGGATAGTTTTCGTTTGGTTGTTGTTTTCTTTTGAGACAGCATTTTACTATGTTGCCCAGACTGGCCTCTTACTCCTGGGCTCCAACGACTCTTCTGCCTTAGCCTCCGAAGCAAGTTTCAGGGTAGGTGAAATCATTAATTATGTTTCATATGATCTCTTCTCAGCCAACATGCCAATAGTCGACATGGAGGTGTCTCAACCTATCCTTAGTGTCTCTATAAGGTGGCTATAATATAATCTGTTGGTTATAAAGAAACAAAGAATTGGCTAGGTTTGTGCATACATGTACGGTTAGGAGAATCCTTTTGGCACATCTATACCTATTTGCTGGGTTCCTGAGGTCAGTACTAATTTTATTGAGTTGGAAGTATATAGTAATCAAATTGGATTTTTTTTCCCTCAACTTCATTTTAATTTGTGTTGTCTTTCTTTTTATTTTATTTATTTTGGTAGTTCTGGAGTTGAACTCAGGGCCTCATGCTTGCTGGGCAGATGCTCTATCACTTGAGCCATTCTGCCTAGACTGTGTTTACTTCAGAGAGGCTTTTTTTTTTTTTTTAAACTCTGGTGTATCATTCCATTCATTGCCATATGAAACATAGGAATGTTTATAATGTCTTTACAATGGAGAACAAGATGATAAATTTCTTCTGAAAATACTTTATTTGTAAACAGTCAAAGGATAGATGTTTTCTGGACAGTACCAAATATTAGGGGTTGCCAGGGAGCAGAGTGTTGGAAGGTGTCCATTTTCCTGTTGTTGAGGCTGCCCTGCAGACAGGATACTGGGATCAAGTAGCTCAATTAGCTCCACATCCTCTTGTAACAGGACTTCCTGTTGCAGGATGGTACGCAGTGAGTCAAGTCGGAATCCAGTATCCTTGGCATTAAAATATAGGAAAAGAGGTATTAATACATAAACAATATTGTATTAAATGCTAAGCTCCTAATGTATAATATTTAGGTGTTTATTTTCAGTATATACTCCAAGAAGAAACAATAGATCAATCTATCTTTAGTGTGATAAATGGGGTTTTATCTTCACTATAAGTGTGAAACAATAAAGATTGAGGTAGACATTATTAAGCTGCCAGATGTGAAAAGTAAATTTTTAATAATGAGATATAATTACAGATTAATTAACCTATCTACTTATGTCTACTTAGCTAAGCTATTGGGATGCAATGTGGAAAATATAATCCATTGAAAACATAACATAAAAAATGCAGATTCTGAATACTATAACAATATAGTTAATACCTAAGAATTATACCAGTGGGGTAAAGGCCTTCTAAAAATGAACACTCAGATATTTAAAAGTATATCATAGTGGTATATACGAAACCACACTATCATTTCCATAACACTTTATAGTTTACAAAATGCTTTCACATACACCAGCTCATTTATGTCTTCCTCTCTTCCTTCTGTCTGTCAAGGAATAGCTTCTATGAGCCAGGCACCACACTTGACACCAAAGACACACATACACACACACCACCTAAATAAGACGTACAAGTCTTTTTCCTTCCTTCTTCCCTCCCTCCCTCCCTCTCTTCCTTCCTTCCTCTCTCCCTTTTTCTCTCCCTTCCTTCCCTTCCTTCTTTTTTTTCCTTTTTGCAGGGCTGAAAATCAAACTCAAGGCTCACACATGCCAGGCAAGTGCTCTACCACTGAGCCACATTCCATCCCTTAAGTCTTTACATTAAAGAGTTCTAATTTAATGGAGAAAAACAAAAAAGCAAATGGTTAAAATATAACATAGCAAAGGAGTCTGATGAGGTGGGTGCTATGAAAATGGCACAGAAGGACCAAATTTAAAGTTAGAGAAAGTAAAAGAGTTACTCTTAAAGCATGAGCAAGACCTGACCTGATGGAAGAGGTGGAAGGGTGGGAGGGAGGATAAAAGCCTTTCTAATTTGGGAAAGTACAAGTCATTGGATATTAGCTGTACGTAAAATGCACACGGTGGAAAGATGAGAGACGAGGTAGTAGTATTAGGGCAGATGACATTAATTCTCACAGCAACTCTGTGACATACATTATCCTCCTCTTCTCCATTTTTTGGAGGAGAAAACTGAAGCTGAAAGGGATTAAGTAACTTCCCAGAATTCTAATTGCTAACTCTAATAAATCTTTGGTAGTTTTTAATTTTTTAAAAATTTTATTTATTTAATTTATTTTGAGACAGAGTATCACTGTGTACCTCAGACTGGCCTGGAACTCATGATCTTTCTGCCTCAGTCTTCTGAGTGCTGGGATTACAAGTGTGTACCTTCATTCTTAAGTTTATTTTTTAACTGATACATAAGAACATAAAAATTGTTCTTATATTAATGAGGTCCCATGTAATGTTTCAAAACATAAATGCATTACATAATGTTTAAATCAGGTTAAACATATCCATCTCTTCAAACATTTATCATTTTTTTCTCTTTTTTGGTGCTATTGAGGTTTGAACTCAAGGCCTCATTCTTGCTAGGCAGGTGCCCTTACTGCTTGAACCACCCCACCAGCCCTTTTTTGTGTTGGATATTTTGATGATAGGGTCTTACAAACTATTTGCCCAGGCTGGCCTTGAACCTCAGTCCTCCTGATCTCTGCCTCTTCAGTAGCAAGGATTATAGGCATGAGAAACTGGTGCCCAGCCATTTGTCATTTCTTCATGCGAAAATCTTCAAAATCCTTTCTTCTAGCTTTTGTACAATAATTATTGGTATCTGGTGTGCAAAAGCACACCAGAACTTCTTGCTACTAGCTAACTAGAACTTAGTATCCCTTGATTACTTGTATATTTGAGAGCTCTATGCTGAGTGGGGTACTATGTAACTGGGCTCATTCTCAACAAGTTTGCGTGCTCAGACTTGGTAACTAGGCTTATATATCGTTCCACAATTTAAGCAAGTTAGTAACTTCTCTGTGTCAGTTTCTTCATCTTAAAAATGGGGATAATAACAGTACCTGACACTTCATAGGATTGTTGTGTGGATTAAGTAAGTCAACATCTGCAAAATACTAAAAGTATATGGCAAACAGTACCATACAAGAGTTATCTGATAATGTTGTACATATGAAATAAATTTTTTTAAAAAGCACACAGTGAACATAATAGAACACTCACAGAATATAAACAGGTAATTATTATTTGGTTGATGAAGAAAATTAGAGATCCAATAAGGGTTAAGGTTTTGGAAAAGACTTGAAGAAAAGCTAGAGTTGCTTACTGAAAATATTCCAATAGACTGAGAGAAAAATGCAAAGAATTCCACGATAGTATAATGGCATGAATACCACATTCTCAGTAAGTATGGAATAAACGAAAAGAAAGACTAGATTCATGGATAAAAATATAGGTGGGCAAGTTGGAAAGGTAGGTTAGGGCCAAATTAGGCAGACTTTTTAGTGCTGAAGTGAATGTAGACTTGAGTTGATAGATAATGGAGACCTTTTTTCATATCTAAATAGGGGAACGTCATCAGAAAGTAACTTAGGAAGATTTCTCTTGAATTGAATAAAGGCTATGAGAAGATGCAGATAAAGAGCAAAGAGATTTCTATTTTTTTTTGTATGGACAGAGAAGGGAACTTATTCATGTGTCTATCTTACACACTTTTCAGTATCATAGGCTATTCCATAATACTGATATGAGGATCAAATAAGATAATGTGTTCAGTAGTCTAAAAAATGCCCAAAAAGTGCTATTACCACTAACAACATAATCACTATAATATAATCTTTTTAAATCTTTAAGGATTGTAAAAACGAATACTAGTAAAATGTTCAAATATCATGGAGTAATTACAATTGGTTTTATAAAAGGTCAGAGGGCCTGCTTCAATTACTGAATAGCTAACAAATTTTGAGTATGTCACAGTCAAGGGGGAAAAGTCAAGCAATGTCATACTAGACGCCAACTGGGTGACTTCTTGTTCAATTATTAGCAATGTTATGATTATGTATTCCTATAATTCTCCATAATACAGGCACAAAAGGGAAGCATACAGAGGCAGGCACTTTATGGTGAAACATGACAAGAAATATGTGGTCAACAACAACATATATAGAATGAAAATATCAGGCTATGCAGACGATGATCAAACCCAGAAAAATGTAAATGGATCCATGTACCTTACCATAGTCCTAGTATCACTGAAGAATGAGATGGCTCCACCTAGATAAAGATGATAGTCTACATAGATGACAAGACACATCACTGACCTCAACACGTCTTCTACAAGGATAAAACTTGGAACAGAGAACTTGAAAATTTGGATTACTATTTAGTCAAAAAATAATACTCAAGCCAGAGTAGTATGTTTTAGAGGAAAGTGCATAGGCTTTGGAACCAGGAGACCTGGGTTTAAATTCTTCTTCTATCATTGCCTAGCTAGATATTCTTAGAGAATCCACTTAAGTTGCTAAATCAAACTGAGCTAACAATGTGAACCTTGGCTTTCTCACTGGTAAAATATACTAAACTTTTTAGGACTGTTTGCAGTATCAAACAAAAATGTGAAAGCACTTTGTAAAGTATTCCTTTACAAATGTTAAGTTAAAAAGATGATCATTGTTAGGCTTATAGGCCAGAGATAATCCTGAAACCTGCTTACTTGTAATTTGATTATTCTTTCTGGGACCCATGAGAACTTTACAACTTGAACTACACTATATGGATTTTAATGTTTTTAGGTTTGTAAGAAGATTGAAGTATGTCTCTTTTGAGGTCATGGGTACATTACATACAGATATATTACATATATATAGGTAATACAAATATATTACAACAGAGATTAGGGGAGAAGAAAGAAAGCCTTTCAGGAATCACAAAGAACCTCAATGTTGACTATTTTAAGTCTCTGGGAATTTTGTGACTTATCAATTTCCTCAAGACTGAGCTGATTGCACTAATAGATATATTCCTTTTCCTAAAAAGAATACCTGTCAATGGAGGAAGATGGCAACAATAAATTAGTAGTATAACAAACAAGCTTTCAATAATGACCAGAATATTACATTCTAAGTTGTTAATAACCTTTTTTAAGAGTTATGAACAATACCACTAAGCCCAAATTAAAAGGTCCCAAGTTATTATTATAGAATTTCCAGTAAAAATGAATCATTGCCTGAAATCAAATTCCAATTTATCAGTTCTTTCACTAATAAACTGAGCCCTGAAAAGCGACAAAATGAAGTAAAGTGAACACTCACCAACTTGTGAAGTAACTCATCCTTCTTATTGCACTGAGAAAAAAAAATCCAACCTTTGATGGCTTCTGCAAGTTTTAACAGGATTCCTCGCTAAAGGAGATGAACGATATTGTCTAGGATTATTAATACAATACACCCAAAAATGCAGAAAATGTCAATAACTTACCTCTAATTAGTCATAATTTTATCAGAAAAAAGGAGAAAAATCATCCATGTTATACACTTTGTCAGTATGTTGCAGTCTCCTTATTTGTAAACAGAATCATGTGGAGATTTCAGTCAGGAATATGTTTCTAGGCCCCTAAACTAGAGTCTAATTCAAAAGATTTGGATTAAGGCCCAGAAATCTGGCTCTTAAAAAGTAGGTAGAAATCATCCTGATGTTGCCCATTTATCTTGGGAACATTATATACTATCTGTGTCAACATGTTAGTGGTATTTATTTCAGAAAGAAAAACAGGATGCTACAAGTTTTCAAATATTAGAACCATTTAATTCTACAAAACTATGGTAGAAAAATATTTTAATCATTTCAGAAAAATTGTCACATACTGAATCAACAAAGAAGGGAAGCCACTTCAGGCAAGGGAACTGGATAAGCAAAGAAGAGAACCATGGAAGCACATCCATGAGGATGGTAGCACAGTTTGGGGGGAATTAGAACCCAAGGGAAGAAGGGATTATTAAGAAAGTTAAAATGGTATACTGACCACCACAATTACATTCAATTTTTATGTATCAGTTAGGGTGGAAAAAAGAAAGGCAGAGCTGCGGGTATAGCTCAGTTGCAGAGTGTGTGCTTAGCATTTTGGGAGGCCCAGGAATTAAACCCAAGCACAAAAAAGAAAAGGACACAGAAAAAAACAAACAACAACAACAACAACAATAACAAAAAGCCCCTGCTTTCTTAAAACTTGATTATTCCTTCTGAGACCCATGAGAATTTTATAACATGAATGTTTTAGCTATACTATATGGCTTTTATATTGTTAGGTTATGAGAAGATTGAAGTATGCCTCCTTTAAGGTGATGGATCAAGCAACAGATATATTACAACGGAGACTAGGAAGAAAGCCTTATAGAAACTACAAAGATCCTCAAGGTTGACTATTTAAGTTTCTGGGAAATTTTCTAACTTATCAGTTCCCCAACATTGAATTGATTACACTAACAGATACATTCCTTTCCTACAAGAGATAGGTTTTAAAGGAACTTGGTCTTCTATGCCGTAATAGCCAAGACTTTATCCTATAAGTTATGAGGAGCCATCAAAGATTTTCATGCAAGGAACCAAAACACTAAGTCAGCATGTTAGAAACATGTAATGTGCAGTCTGTACTGGCAGAGAATGATTGTAGCATGATTAGGAGGGTATTAAATAGTCTAGATAGGAGTAGAGGTATGGCTTAAGTGGTAGAATACCTCCTTTGCAAGTGTGAAGCCCTGAGTTTAAACCCCAGTGCCACCACCAAAAAAAAAAAACCAAAAAAACAAAATCCAAATAAATAAAGGCCTGAAGTAGGTAATGAATGCAAAAAATAGTAATGAATAAGGGTTAGATTAAGAGACATAGAAGTTGATTTGATGTATCCCTTAGTGACCAAAGCAATGCAGGAGTAACAGGAAATGGTAAGATAACTGAGAGGGCAGTAATTTGGGAAAATAGAAAGAATACGTTTTGTATGTTTGTTTTGGCAGTGCTGAGGAAAGAAAAGAAGTCCTGTTTTGGACATGCTGAATCTGAGCTTCTTAGGGCACCTTCAGGTAAAAATGTCTATTGAGCATCTGGAACTCAGCAAAGCCAAAGAAGGAAAGAAAGCAAATGAAATTACTTAAGAGAAGAAAGACCAAGAAGAGAAGAGGCCTGCTGCTAAAATCTCATGAAAGGAACATGAAAAGAAGCCAGAAAAAAGAACAGGGTGAATATTCATGGTAGGAATACTATGACAGACTACTTACTAATTACTTACTAATCATATGAAAAAAAATTTTTAGAAAGAAGTCAATTACTGCTTTGAAGTGCTTATCAATAATTCACATATATTTTTCAAAATGCTTTCCAAAGAAAATAATTGATACTTCACTCTTTGAAGAGAATTTTGGGAACAATTCTAAAAATATATTCCCTGAGAATAAGCTAGATAATTCAACAAATCTTTCTCAATTTTTGCTGCCCCTAGATTTAGGGGAAAAAAACATGAAATTTGAGGCATATGGTAATTTTTAAAAAACTAAATGATTCAGTTTTTTTTCATTAGCATCTTAAAAGAAACAAAAAAGAGAGATTAGGTAGCAGAGCCAGGAGAGCTCCCTAAATAAGGACAGAAAGATGAGAGGCAGATAGGGCTTAAGAAGCCCTCTGGGCAGAGGGAGGCAGCACTCTCTGGAGGTGGGCCTGGGCCCAAGGGTGTTCCAGGATCTGAGCCAAAGGCAGCCAACTTGGAGGGCTGGTACCTAAAAAGCGTAGAGAGCAAGTCCTTGGCCCACAGAAGCATTGATGGGAATTGACCTATGGTACTTTCAAAAAATATCCTCCAAAATGACCCAAACATTGTACGCACATATGAATACATATTTTCATTCATATGAAAAAAAAAAAGAAAAAAAATATCCTCTAGTTATACTTTTCATTGTCTCTCAATTTTGGAGGGGATGAAACTTTAAGCTCTCATTTAGCTTATTTACAAACTACCATTTTTATAAATAAAAGTATTTGTCATAAATGTGAAGGAGAAAGCATCTACAAAATCCAAGTTTATACTAACACAAACTAGAAGTCAATACCCATCTCCTGCCTGAAGATTATTCCTAAACCACTCTTTGTCTTATGTTACTAAGTAATCTCACATCCAAGTGTTAGTCTACAAATAAGCCTATAGATAAATCTTTAGGTTTGGCTTTCAAACCCCTCCCCAAGAGCATCTGCTCTCAAAAGAGGAGGGGAAAGAAAGGGCAAATATAAAGAACTAGCAAAAATGGTTCTGATCCATGTGAGCACTAATTTCCCAAGCTCCCACTTTCTAAGTGGTAGTCAAAAACAATTTCTGTAGTGAGTACTTTGCTTTTGCAAAAGGGCCAGCTTAGTTACCTCACATTTCTCACATCTGAGGTGTTCAACTCAGAAGACCAGGAGAGAAGATCTTTGGGCAGTCCCATGCTTTCCCTTCCTATCACAATGGAGTAAGTGACTACTTGTAAACTTCAAGGGCCTCCTCCCAATAGTAAATGAGGTTTTAATAAAACACTAACTTAATGAGAATTATCAAAGAGTGAGGGAATCTGGCCAGTTTTTTCTATTAAATTAAAATTCCTCTGAATAAAATGGAAATGTTACTAGGATATTTTATTTTAGTAAATATGGCTAATAGGACATAAGTGAATCTAGTAAATGCATTTTACAAGGTATAACTAATGGAGCTTCTTCCAGTTTCTTAGCTTTACATGCTGTATATCAACTATGAGATATTTACTGTATAAAAGTACACATTACTATAGATAATAAAAGGCATCAGAAGTTGAGGTAAATAAGTTACTCCATCATATACCTTTGAAGATGTGTTTAAGAAATATCTTGTCAATTTGCTTTCTCATAATTTGTGCTATCTTTTAAAAAAGATTTAAAGAACATTCCAGTTAATGAGGAAGACTACTAGTTGTGTTCCATTAAAGTTTTATTATATTTTTCTGGTCTCCTGTAGATAATTTCAATATTTAAAGAAATAAGATACTTTAATCACAACCAGTTTTAACCCTTTTTTTTCTGGTATTGAAGTTTGAACTCAGGACTTCCTGCTTGCTAGGCACCACCATTTTTATTTCCTTACTTTATATAAATGACTCACAAAAAAGTCCAGAATAGCAGTAAGGATGATGTTTATCTAAATAGACAATTTAGTACTACTAATGAAATAAAGTCTTACAGTGTAAGACTGGAGGTGTTTATGCGGCATTTTTTTGTTTGTGTTTGCAAGGTGAAAGGAAAAAGCAGTTTAAACAGTAAGAACAAAAGATTAAGCTTTTTATAAAAATGAGCATGCTTTCTTACTTTTGGAAGGACTCTTGTAGGAGGCTTTTGTTGTTCCTCTGTTGTACATTTTTCTGGTTTTGCTGGCAAAGAAGAACATATTTCAAAATCTGTATGTCCCAAATCCTGTAGGTACTGGTAAAGTGGAGAATTCTGAAAGAGACATAGAAAATGAAGCAAATTTCAAGATCATTATGATTTCAAAAGTTTTAAAGGCCAAATTTAATATCAAACTTCACTATCATGACAAGTATGTCTAAATTCATAAGGCTTCTTCTATGAGAATTGAATGATATGTTAAAGAAACTGGCATTTAATATCAATAAATCAACAAACATTCAACAGAGGAACCCAAAAAAGGAAAAACTCTAAATAAAAAACATTTTTTTTGAGCGAGTACTAGCAAGTAAAAATGAATTTAGGAATATAAATAGATTTGTTAAGCAATTTCTTTGCTCAAATTTTTGTAGTCTTAAAGTAGCCTGCTTCAAAATAGGCAATGCTGGCTATAGATAGCACCTAGGAGGGCCTACAGTGACAAACAGCTATTACATGAAGCCAAGAAAAATTAAACGACGATTATATCCTTAGTTATAATCTTGTACTGTATCATATTCATTAATTCACTTAACACTAATACGTATTACCTACTATATGCTTAGTAATGCAAATAAAACTCTCCAGAAAGTTGCCTTAGATAAGGTATAATTCATATATGAGGATATGACAAATAAGAAACAGTACGGCTGACAAAAGCATTAGAACCCAGTGGTTAAAAACACAAACTTTGAGCAGGGCGTGTGTGGCATACTTGTAATCCTAGCACTAGGGAGGTTGAGGCAGGAGGCCTCAATACCTGGGCCCAGGAATTTGAGGCCAACCAGGGTTACATGTCTCAAAACAAAAGTACAACACACACACACACAAGGAGAAGTATAGGTTCAAATCTCAACTCTGCAGCTTACTAGCTAAGTAGCCTATGGCAAGTTACAAACATTCTGTGCTTCAGTTACCTCATCTAAAAAGAGGAATACTAACACTTAGTTTATAGAGTTCTTACAAAAAATAAATTAACACAAAGTGCTTACAACAGTCCCTGGCACATAGTAAATACTCACTTTATATACTGCAACTTTTTATAAGCTACTAGAAAGAGCACAGGTTTAGAAATAGACCAGAAAAATATCACCCCAATTCTATAAAAAAGAAATACACTATTTGGCCAAGTGCCAGTGGCTCATGTCTAATCCTAGCTACTCAGGAGGCAGAAATTATGCAGATCACAGTTTGAGGCCACTCTGGGCAAATAGTTCATGAGACCCTATCTCACAAATACCCAGCACAAAAAAAGGGCTGGTGGAGTGGCTCAAGTGGTAGAGCACCTGCCTAGCAAGTGTGAGACCATGAGTTCAAACCCCAGTACTGTCAGTTTACTATATGTATAAATACACTGTTATTCTTGGATGAAAATCTATTAGGAAACTCATTTTGGATAAAGAGCAAACATTAATTTTAACTTTTAACTGTTTCTAAAATGCAAAATTGGTGACATATTTAAAAATAAACCTTGATTCCATTCAATGAAACTCTGAATCTTCAGAAGGACTGTATTTAGGTACGGTAAAACAATAAAATTAGAAACAGAGTTGTCAACTATATTGAGCAACAGAGAAAAAGTCTCCAAAACTCTGTTTCTTCAGGAATAGCAAGGGATTGCAACTTGGAATGCTCATATGCCTTGGTGGACTACAGGTACATGCAAAGGGTTGGGACAAGGGAAGAACTTTAAGGGCAAAAAGGCAAAGACCATTAAAGTTTTAAAACAACAACCACTGATGATAGGGGCTGATCATAGGAGGTGCAGTTTGTTCACTGGTGCCAGCAGACTCTTCATAAAAGTGGTGTAACTGGAAAATGCTGGCTTAGAAATGTTCTCTGCGGCAGACACCATTACCAGTATACATGAGGGAGGACTCTCCCTTCATGGCCTCCAGGCTCCATTTAGTTGGAGTTTGACATCGGTGACTCTGTTATTTTTATATGGAAAACTTTCACACTGCTAACAAAGTACTTTGCAGCAAAATCTTAGGAATTTTACTTGCATCATCACAACGAACTCTAAAGAGTATAATTATCATCACTATCACTGTTACTATTATTCCCATTTCATAGATGAGAAAACAGATTGATTCAACTATAGTAAAGGATTGATTAATAAATCTGACTTCAAAGTCAACACTCTGAAATAACATTTCTTCATTTAACTACTGAGGAGGATACCAAAACAGCTTATTTGCAGTTTATTACAGAAAAACTGGATGCTTTGGAAAAATGAGAGAAGTATCTAAATTTGGCCTGGATATTTAGGGACTATATCCTTGAATTCAGAAGAATGAAGAAGAGGGACTATCATTGTAGGCTGGTAGCAAACTGCTGGGTATCAACTTGTAAGAACAAGAATAGGAGGGAAATGCCTTCTTTTTAAACTCTTAAGAAAACTAAAAAGTATAAGAAATAATGTTTCTTGTCCCTCTAGCAGATTTTAATTAGTCAACTAATTAATTCATGACAGGGTCTCATTATGTAGCTCAGGCTGGCCTTAAATTCCCAGTCTTCCTGCCTCAAATTCCCTAGTGCTAGGATTACAGGCATGTACCAACACACTCAGCTCCAAGTGGTTAATCTTAGTATCACTTACAATGTATATCAAATATTGTCTTGAATTACTCAGTCTATATTTTCAAGTTGAACTATGAACTCTGCTCTGCCCCCAGGGTGGCAAAAGAACAAGAACACTAGATCATTTGTTTGAATTGACCTTCTGAAAAGTTTATATACTTTTGTTTTTAAGGCAGAACAACCCTTTCTTCAAATGAACTCCCACGAGGAAGAATAATAAATAAGACAGTGGAGTTACTCTAAGTCAGGGTCAGCACATTTTTTTTTTGTAAAAACTCAGCTAGTGAATATTTTAAGCTTTGCAGGCCATCTGATCTGTTGCAACATTCAAGCCCATTGCTATAATATGACTGTGGTAAAAGACAATAAATACATAAACCCATGTACAGTTATGTCACGATAAAGTTTTATTTACACACAATGAAGTTTTAACTATAATTTTCATGTCACATATCATTATTTTGGTATTTGCTCACCCATTTAAAAATGTAAGAAACATCCTTTGCTCATCAGTCATGCAAAAATTGGGGAGCGAGAATCTAGTGCAATCTGCCTTAATTTACTGACTCATTTTTAATTAAAGGCTGTAATTAAGGACGCACTCTTGACTGCTGTTCTCTGAGAAGAGGCTTGCAAGGTAGAGGACTTATTTGGACTCTGAAACCCTTTTTTACTGCATACATAGCTGATGCTCCGTTGGCACTGACCCCAATAATGTCTCCCTTTTCCAGTTTAGGTCACAGCTCACCAAATGGAAATCACAAAATGGAATATGTGTAGCATTTTGTAAAAACAAGAAACAATGAATACTCTTGTGTAGATGGTTTCTGCACACAAACTAAGCACATGCATGCTCAGTTTGAGTCACTGTAACCTAGAACACTCACTATTTCACACTTCGCAAAAGCAGCAGCATCGTTCCTTATAAACCATAACGAACGCCCAACGATCTGACTTATTCCACTTTTTTCCCAACAGAAAACATCTCATCAATTTTTTGGCTGGCTTCAAAGATGTGACACATCCATTTGTGCTATGTAACTATGAAAGTGGCCTTGGTGGTTTTGGTTTCTTCCTTACTTTTAGTGACAGATTTTATTCCCTTCATCTTAGGCAGCACTGTTTTTAGATCTGGAAAATCTGGCTTGCCAACTGGATTGCTATGGCTTTATGTATTAAGTATTTGACAAAGGCTCACAGAAGACAACATTTGTACTGGAGATGAATGTACTGCAGGTCCAATAAAATGTAATTTCTAGACATCTACATTTGCAGTTTTCTATTTTTGGCTGTTAGTGCAAATCATATTACTTCCCAGTACCTATAAACCTAGGTATAGCATGAACACTAACGCTCTATTCATTATGCTATATTCTGAATTATGGTATTTATTTTACTGTTTTATTTCTATTTTTATACTTCATCAACTTTTGAGCCAAAAGAAAATTTAAAGTTTAAGCAACAAAACACAAATGAAAACAAATATTTAAATGACTATCAGCTGAGACGAACTGACCAAGATATTGTAGTATATGAGCAATTTTTAACAACACAAGAGTATTTTGGTGAAGTTATTACTTTACATTAATTCTTTAAAAATGTCTGAGGACAAAATTTCTACCACCTTTTCTCTGAAACTGCCAAATAACCTGCATATTGCTTGATGGGTCTCAGGAAACCAAATCTTTACCAGAGATTCTCAGATCTTTTGGCTTCAAGACCCCTTATGGTCTTAAAAATTATAGGGGACCCCAAAGACCTTTGTATAGATACATGCCGACATTTATGTCATTAATTAAAAGTGAAAAAAAATGAAGCTATCCATTATTTTACTTAAAAAGAGCAAAATGAAAAAAGAATTATTATAAGATTGTTAGAATCTTTTATCTGTTTCTACATTCAGTGTATTGTAGTTTGTTGGGTTTTTGTTTATGTTTTGCAACTTGTTGGGTGAAGTATACAAAAGATAGCCATACCAAAATTTGAAAAGAGATAGTTCTGAGAAGGTTTATTTATTATTTTTTGTATGTTTTATATATATACACATATATATATATTTGCCAGGGACTGAACCCAGGGCCTTGTGCATGCTAAGCTGCACTCTACCACTAGCTATACCCCCAGTCATGGAAAAGATTAATTTTAATATAGAATCTGAAATCTTACTGATGAGCTTTTTGTACTGTACATGAATGAGAGAATGAGAGTGAAAAGGTAAATGATGTCTTAATATTAAAACCTGATCACTCAATGTAAAATAACTTACTTTTTTTTCTTTTATAGCAAGGTAAGGCTCACTATTATTTAGAGGTTTCAGACCATTCAATTAAAAAATTTAAGTAAATATGATGAAAGATCTATTTTTCATATAGTGAGCATTATTACACATTGATGGTAGCTTTAGAAAGGACATTTTTGTGGGGGAATAGGCAAAGTAGGTGGAGTTAGGTAATTTTCTCTATTATAATTTTTCT